CAATCAATCCGTACCGTACCATAATGAGAGGACACTGTAGATATGCGGCGCGACGATTGAGTTAGAGTGTCAAAGAGATTAGTCTTATTGCGTATAAACAATGAGAAAATACTTGGTTGTATTAGCGCTCTTGTGTTTAATGGTGATTGCATCCATTTTGATTATGAAAAGACTAAATAATAAACGTTTATACAAACCCAGTGGGAAAGATTTTAAAGGTAAGTTTTCACTCACCTATCATTGAAATATTTTACAACAGTCTATTATATATCATTCCTTTTTCTTTCGCCGCGCACACAATGACGAGTAAAGAAAACTTCAATAGATCTTGGAGAGCATATGGTGTGATACAAAGATTGATAATATAGAGGCATATTCATTCACCAAACTAGAAAGTTTGTAAACTGCGCACCCGAGATTCGATATGTGCGCGCATAAAAAGAATTGTTTTCTCAAAATAGCGCATCCTATACCTCGGGTGCGCACTCAAAACTCCCATTCAGTGCTGATTAACCTTTCGTGGGGCCCGTGAAATATTTTCAGCGCGGTGCCCTTCTCTCCCCATGGCTGAAATTCAGATTGTCCTGAAATCAGAAAGATTAAAAAATAATATGTATACCATCATGTGCAAAAATATCTGTATGTTAAAACAAGAAGTATGTACATTAATTTGAATATTTGAATTGTCATCCAACCCAGCTTAAATCAATAACATTAATTGACAATTATAGAGAACTTGATTAAAAGGAAAAATTAAACTTAATCAACCAACTAAACATTCATAAGATTCGGTATACATGCTCGGATGCGGCGATGCATGCTCGCTCGACGTGTATGTAAATTGTACGCGTAAGTAATGTAACATAACTTTCACTAAAATTTCATTTTGCTTTGTAAACGTTGTGTTTGCGGGATTTCTTTACAACAAAGATAGATCCACATGTCGCTAGAGCTTTTATCGTCGTCAAAATGCTTGCAATCATTCGTGTTTTCATTGGTCCACGAGTCCTCATCCAAAAGTCTCGAGCGTACGCTAGGTGCTTCAACTACGTTCAATTTCATAAAGCTATCTTCAACCTGGCGTCTTTGTTTTTCCACTTTCATGCTTGATTTTGTTTCACTGTTGTAAGTTTCATTGTCAAGTATTTCTTGTACCTCAATCCACGAATTATAAATCTGCCATAGATATGAGAGCATTGCTTATGAACAAAATATGCAGATACAAACTTATAGAGAATAATAAAAACATCTCTAACATTGTCACGAGTGGCGTAAAAAAGTGATGAGTTTGATATGCATTTGTCAAAACAAGCTTAAAAAGGCAAAGAGCATGCCAAAAGTATATGATTGAAAATTTGCGAAGCGTATATACAAGCACCAATTTCAGAGCTCGCTCCGTCACAAATTAATTGAGAACAAATCTGGGCATGCCTAGTCAACTCCACCAACTCGCCAAGTTCATGGTCATGGAAACCACCAACTGTATGTACTAGTACCGATTATGGAGTAATTAGCTCGCTCAGTAAAAAAATTTCAGATAATTTATCTGCGCATGCACGGTCATCTTGAGCATGCTTAGTCGCTTTGACCGCCTGCCCAAGTTCATGGTCACGGCAACGACCAACTGTATCTACCAGAATCGATTTTGAAGTACATAACAATTTATCTGCGCATGCGCACGAGCATGAGCAGTCCACTCGACTAATTGTTCATAGTCATGGCAACGACTTACTATATGTACTTGCACTTACATTTGTGGCAATTAACTCATTTAGTCGTAAATTATCAAAGAAATCATCTGGGCATGCGCAGTATTGATGTCAATTATACCACAACTTTTGTAAGCCTTTGAATTTATGTATATATATATAAAGCTAAAACTTCTCATAGTAGATGCCAACTAGCAGTGGAAGCTGGGTGCGATAAGGTATGCTTAGGGCTTAGAAGCCCATACTTCGGTGGCGACCGCACTCTCCCTGCGTACCCCGAGCAAAGCCTATCGCAGGTGATCTCGGGGTGTGATGGGCGGAAGCTTGCTATTGGCATGTCCCAAGTAGGATAGCGTGGAGGGGCTGAAGTCTCCTACCGAAACGTTAACATGCGGCGTTCTAGTGCCTTACGCTTAAGAAGGTATCGGGAAGCATGGACCGAAAACGGGTTTTTTTTGCTTTCGAATTTTATCTTTTTGTTTATCTCATAGAACAAACTTGAACATCCAAGGATACTACAAAGGTTCGAATAACTTCTGCCTTCTTGAATTATAATTAAGCCAACTCTTTTTACTTGTTACCTTTTACAATGTAACTTTCTCATAACTCTCTCGTGATGAACAACACCTTCCTTAAACAATATGACTCTCTCATCATGAACGAAAGCATCCATGAGCTTCGTGGAAAAAAGGGATTATCTACTTTTTTATAATAGTTTTTATAAAGATAACATTAATTAATAAGCCAAGCAATTTGTATCGTCTAAATTGAACCTCGCTTTTAACTCAAGAGTTAATAGTGTTATAGTTAATGTTATAGAATTTTGATTCATTTTGGACAGTAAATTTCTTTTTACTTTACAATATTTTCATGATTCAACTTAGAAAGTAACTTCTCTTCTCGAGTAATTTAACGATTAAACGGTACACTTTTCGGATTCAGACGAATTCTTTTCATCGCATAGAGACAGCCGTCCAAATTATTATGTACTTATGCGTATATAAAGCATTTGCAAATCACGTACAAAATTTTCATTACACGACCAAATTACCGTCTATTTAAACGATCTATGTATTAAAATGTTACCTTGACAACTGAAGGAAACCCTCCCTTTTCCAAGCATTTGCAACATCTCAAATTTATTCCGAACTCTTCAACTTCTCGCAGTGTAGCCGAAAGGATTAGGCATCAAATCAGGAGACTCATCTCTACGATCACAGCCATTTTGATTTCTCCCTTGATCTTTTTCAGCATCAAGCTTATCTGAAATGATGTTATTGCTTAAACCGTGCCACACGGGATTTAGAGAGATAGAAGGATGTCCAAGAAGCTGTTGAGAATGATTTGACATAACAACTTCCAGAGTTAATCTTCCTCAACTATGGTAATGGTTTTGCCTTTTGCATCAATTTTTTTCCGCCGTTAGACCCTTCTTTTCAACAAAAACAGATACCATTGTCTTCATTTCGAACTTCAACAGAATCTAAAAGAACGTGTCAAAGATTGCCAAGCCTGTAAAAAACTATCAAACACATACCAGAAGTATCTTTCTCACACTAATCCCTCCAACCATGCACACTGCTTTTCCAGACGACTTTCGCATCATCTCACCTTGCTTAGGCACATACGAACTCACAATCCACGAAAGCCTCATGTCTAAACCAAAACCATCACTTTACGCGCAAAGCAGCTCCTGGCAAAACTGATCATCGCACTTGCTCACGCACTGTAAGCTGATACCTCTATGTAAATAACTAAATATCATCTTCCTTGTAAAACTATACTGTAAGAAGATGTTTGAATCAAGACGAAGTGTCACCTGATTTCCTTACTAATTAATACATAATCACACCTCTGATCTCATTATTGAAAACTATCTGTTTGGCTCTAATTTTTATAAGAGCAACAAAAATGAAATATTAACATCAAATATACATATACAAGGAACGACAAAACACACATATACACCAATCGTCTAATCCTTTTGCTGGAGAAGAACAAGTCAAAAGAACGTCAAAAACAAGCAAAAAAAACAGTCTTCCCTGATCTTTTTCTTCATTTAAAACTTTAAAAAGCCGACAAACAGATTTCTCGTTTTTATCCTTCATGTCCCTTTGTATCTATAATAAAAAGGGAACGAAATAGGGAATGAAACGAAAAAAGCAACAAACACAATGCATGATCAATTTCTTACCATAGAGAACAGGCTAGATGGCAAGAGACACCAGAAACAAGCAAACACATATCACCATTTTCCATGCAACACCATCAATATTTGCTGAACATGGTACTGAAAGAAACAAAGTCAGTGTGGAGCAGCTACAAGGTTTAGAAACCAAATCTGTTTGCATTCTACACAACAGGTTCGCAGAAGTACTTCGTATCACTCTTGATACCGACTGCCGATAATCCAAAGAAAAGTCGAGTAAAGAAAGCAAGGACTCTTGATATATCACTCCTCAAAAATTTATATTTAAAATCGTTGGCAACTGTTTGAAAATTTTTCTATTCAGTTGATTTACTTGGATGATACAGTTTGTTTCATTTTTGCTCTCTGAATCAAAAAGAAAAGCAAAGAACGATAAGTGTCACAACAAAGCAAAGAATTATATACACACATTCATCTTTTTGATATTTGTGGATTATTAGAGAGAAACAAACAAATATCAAAGCTTGTGCATCAAAACGAAACAGAAAAAAAGTAAATGGAATGACAGGAATTATCAAAAACATATCAAAGCAAATATAATAGTACACTGACAAAGACACAAACGCGAATAGCTTAGATTAACATTGTCATGAACGCAAGTTATGGTACAAAAACACATAAAGATAACCTTGCTCTTTTGAAGCTAGATATTCATCATAAAAAATGTGGAGATTACATTGAAAAAAATACAACGTATGAGTTGAAAGTTAACCGAGGTCTTCGTTTTCCATAAGATACATTCAATTTGTTTGAATTTGTTCAAGAAAATTGAACACATTTGAACAACTATCCCAAAGTTACACTGATTAAATAAATCAAGTCGACGCCTAGTCTTATATAGGCCGTTGTTCGTGCCATACGATAGCATGAAAAGGGTCGTTGTATGTCGTGATAGTGACAAATAGTGCCATTCATTCTATAGATGAATAAGGCCATCGTATGTAGCTCGTTATTGTTGTGTGAGAGTGTAATCCAATGAGAACAGATAAATGTCAAATTCCGAACAATAACTAGTTGCTGCATGTGTATGATCAAAATCATCATAAGACAAAATGTTAAGGAAGAGTGCTGGATGACGGATGTATTTTTGTTAACATATATTTTTTGAAAAACAGTACTTTATCTACAGTGTTACAATGCTGGACTTCAAACGTGGATTCGCTTCGGTATCAACTGTCTAAAACATTTTTATTTGTTGAGGGGATTAACCGTCCATTAAACTGATTACTTTACTTGACAAAAATATTAACTTGACCTACTTTATCAATGTCGTACAACAAAGCAAATGCCGAAAGGCGTAAAATCACGCAGCTTATCGAATCCACGCTGGCAGCCTATTTTTACAAAAAAAGCAAGACAAAATAAAGATTGAAAATTTACACTTTCCCATTATTGGAAACTTTCAATGCAAGTGTAAGTAAGAGATGATGACATTTACATTTACAATATCTAATAACACTATAGACAAACACATATTATTTATATGAAACATGAAATTTCAAAACAAAATGAAAACAATAAAACTTTCTTAGATAAAAAAAAACACACTTTAACTAAACAGTAATAACTCTGATTTCAAATAAAAAATAAGCGAAAGAAAGAAACAAAGGCATTTTGTTTTCGATATAAAACCTGGGAGTGAGAAACCAAAGTTTAGATTAATTATGAAATACGAAAGCTTGAGTATGACTTAACCAAAGGCCGTGTCGAAGAGTTGAAAATCAAAGTTTTCGAAAATGGGTGTGGTTATACGGCGTGGTCTTCTGAAAAGAACTAAACCCACATGGTTATTCAACACAAATAAGATTTAGTTTTTTTTTCACGCTTACGTACATGTTTAAACAAGCCTTATTTAGCCGAAAATATAACTTGAGTGTGTCGCGCGCCCGCACACCCTGTCCTTCGTAACGGCCTGCGGTTAACTATAAATATAACTATACACTAAACAAAATTTACGTACATTTTACATGCACATGCCTATATGGTTTGTTATCCATAACTTTAGCAAGAAACTTAAATTGATGTGGAAGTAGCTGTAACTATTTATGCAACATGGTTTTCACATTTCTTACAGTGTGATTTCTTCGAACAAGAGACTTCTATAACATTTCACAAAATTCGAAACGCAAATGTTCGAAAAGTATTTCGGTCCTTAGGCAACCTGCTGGATTGAAGCAGGGTAAGATTCGAAAGTAAATGCACAAATTATTTTTTAAAGTTTTGGCAAAATCGGGTCACATTATTTTTTTAGAACTTAGCTAAGTTGCTGCGCTACTCATTTTAGTATCATCAAAAAAACAACACAAAAATTGCCGGATATGTAGCGAGAATTAGTTTTGCAGGATGAAGAACACTTTTCTTCGATTTCTTTTGAGTATGGGTGTGATAACATTAGGACAATCTTCAATTTATGAAATTTTTTCGCATGGATAATGGCACGTTGATGTAGGCTTTAGCATTTAACGATAAAGCTAAACGTTCGGGATCGACGGAAAGTGCTGAAAACAGAAGACGATACCTACTTTGTTAACTAAAGCAAATTTCTTGTACAATTTAACAAGTCTTTCCTCATAGTCGCTTTAAAATTTTACATTCATTTACATTTAAACCATTTAACCGGGGATAAAACAATGTACAAGATCGCTGTATATGAAATGGAACGTAATCAGTATTTTTCTTATGAAATCATTCTTACAGTTTACATACACCAAATCATATGTGTGTTAAACCTTTATGGAAAAATAAAAACAGTAGAGGCATAAAATAAAAGTACTAAATTCAGTACTTATTGCGTAAAGAAACAAATTTCAAGAACGCCAATTAATTTCACTGGCAGTTTACATACACCAAATCATATGTGTGTTAAACCTTTATGGAAAAATAAAAACAGTACAAGCATAAAATAAAAGTACTAAATTCAGTACTTATTGCGTAAAGAAACCAATCTCAAGAACGCCAATTAATTTCACTGGTAACTGCTAATGTAAGAAAAGTAGTTTAACGATTGCCTTACGCGCTGGGTGAAAAAAAACGCATAAAGAAAATCAGCGTGGTGATAGTTTTTTCAAAATAATTAATATAAGAAATTTCGAAATCAATTTGGTATGTTTATTGTTTATGTAAAAGCACTCACGTCAAAGTCTCAGGCAAAGTCATCAGTAAACGGCGAAGGCATCAGCAAAGAAAACTAACAGCTAAAATGGCTACACAAAACTCCATTAGACCGATTTTGAGTAAGTTGAATTGGAATACAATTTCAATGTTAGATATGACTTTAGAAAATCTAAGTTGTGATTTTGTTCATTGTTTTAGGCCAGTGTGAACACTGTCACTTCATTCCCCTCAGCAGGATTCTGCACCGATCTTACCCACGCCTCATTATTCAAGGTCATACTATTCAATGGTAATTTTTAACTTACACGTGCGAGATGGCAGCGAAGGTCACATCTCAAACGCATGCGCTGTGTACTTCAACCACTTGAAATTTACACGTGCGAGATGGCAGCGAAGGTCACATCTCAAGCGCATGCGCTGTGTACTTCAACCACTTGAAATACTAAAAGTGTTTTGTATGTGTTAAGACGATAAAAACTCTGCAAAAAATCAAGACACGCAAATCAGAAAATTTTGCAGAATGGCATCGATGCAGCAGACAGAATACCCTGAAATTAGTAAGTGCGAGCTCTTTCTGTTTATTTCAAATTAGAGAATGTTTTTTATCTTCAACAGAATCTATCTCCTCATTTTCAGAAAAATGTAATCACTGTCGTGATTTTTCATCACGGCTAAATGTGGACATACTGTCCATTTGTCCCCGTTAGTGGAGTCACGGGGAAAATTCAAGTGTAGAATTTGCGGGTTTGTATGCCTTTAAAGATATTTTAATCTCAGGTTGCGTTTCATGTCATTGATTTTTAGTCTTCATTCATGTAGTGTATCGGACGCAAGTGTTGATGCCGCTGTCCGTCAATTTGTGATGTAAGTTTGTAATTCATGGGTGCGTTTATATATAAACTGTCATACGGAAGCAGCAATTTATATAGTGGTTCTTATTTCATTCATTCAGAAAACTGTGTACAGAGGGCATCATGATTGACGTTCAGATTTAATACAACAAAGATTTAATGTAACAACATGAATAAAGATTTACAAATGTTGAATGACTCGTTTTTTAAGTTTGTTCATTTTATCTGAAAGAAATATTTTAAGCCAGTCGTTACAAGTATATTTTAGTATCTCAAGTCCGTTAACGGGTGGGTCGACATCTTCAATGCTCTTCATAAAATCTTTGATCACAATCTCATCGGACACATTTTCCGAGGCATCATCAAAATTCAACAACATACGCTCGTCATGCTCCATCATGAGACAGCCATGCTCACGCTGAGAGAGGTGGTCAATCATGCATCCATTGCAGTTCTTATTTACTTCAGCGTTTATCATTGCAGCAATTTCTCCTGCATAGCAGTCTAAAAGTTTATTTTCTAACAAACTTTGACGTACAGTTATTTCATTCTTTTCTGACTCCAAAAGCAATTTGTTCATTCTTAATGCCAGATCAATGTCAACATTCAATTCCATTTGTTTAAAGAGATAAAATGTAAACCTTTCGATAAAGTATAAGCTATAAAATGCAATTACCTCGTTTTCTACCGTTTTTACCTTCGATTGAGAAAAGGAAACGGATCTAATGTTACTTTGTCAATAGCATGCAACTTCCAGCTTTGTCGTATTTCCGATTTTCACGCCATCCAATGCCATGCCATGTTTATTAAACCCTATTTCCGGTTGACATGCGCGCGCACCGATCAACTTCAGGGGACTGGAAACTATCTGGCACGGGTAAGAGCTCTGTGACAAAAGTGTGACAAAGCTGCACCTTATCTACTACTGGTACAAAAGTTAGAGACCATTTCGAAGTTAGATGAGGAGATTCAGGGACTACTGGAAAAAGATGAAGATATTGAGGCAGATATTGACGGGTCATCGGAATACAGCTGCGAAGTCTGGGGTGCGTTGGCCGAAATCAACGAAGCACTGAGCGTGTTAGAGTCGAATAGGAGAACTGAGGAACTCGCGAACACATCAGCAAGTACGGCATCGAGTGAATCACGACGCTGCAGAGTCAAGACGATAGAGAAGACCATACCTACTTTGTTAACTAAAGCAAATTTCTTGTACAATTTAACAAGTCTTTCCTCATAGTCGCTTTAAAATTTTACATTCATTTACATTTAAACCATTTAACCGGGGAAAAAACAATGTACAAGATCACTGTATATGAAATGGAACGTAATCAGTATTTTTCTTATGAAATCATTCTTACAGTTTACATACACCAAATCATATGTGTGTTAAACATTTATGGAAAAATAAAAACAGTAGAAGCATAAAATAAAAGTACTAAATTCAGTACTTATTGCGTAAAGAAACCAATCTCAAGAACGCCAATTAATTTCACTGGCAGTTTACATACAACAAATCATATGTGTGTTAAACCTTTATGAAAAATAAAAACAGTACAAGCATAAAATAAAAGTACTAAATTCAGTACTTATTGCGCAAAGAAACCAATCTCAAGAACGCCAATTAATTTCACTGGCAGTTTACATACAACAAATCATATGTGTGTTAAACCTTTATGGAAAAATAAAAACAGTACAAGCATAAAATAAAAGTACTAAATTCAGTACTTATTGCGTAAAGAAACCAATTTCAAGAACGCCAATTAATTTCACTGGCAGTTTACATACACCAAATCATATGTGTTAAACCTTTATGGAAAAATAAAAACAGTACAAGCATAAAATAAAAGTACTAAATTCAGTACTTATTGCGTAAAGAAACCAATCTCAAGAACGCCAATTAATTTCACTGGTAACTGCTAATGTAAGAAAAGTAGTTTAACAATTGCCTTACGCGCTGGGTGAAAAAAAACCGCATAAACCAAATCTGCGTGGTGATAGTTTTTTCAAAATAATTAATATAAGAAATTTCGAAATAAATTTGGTATGTTTATTGTTTATGTAAAAGCACTCTCGTCAAAGTCTCAGGCAAAGTCATCAGTAAACGGCGAAGGCATCAGCAAAGAAAACCAATAGCTAAAATGGCTACACAAAACTCCATTAGACCGATTTTGAGTACGTTGAATTGGAATACAATTTCAATGTTAGATATGACTTTAGAAAATATAAGTTGTGATTTTGTTCATTGTTTTAGGCCAGTGTGAACACTGTCACTTATGGGTGATTTGCCCACCAAGCTGTGGGCATAAAGTCCACCTCTCTGAGGTGAAGGAAAGACTGATTGAATGCTTGCCATTCAAATGTCCTATTTGCTTGTAAGTCAAATAATTTATATGCTTGCTATATGTTGTAGTCGTTTTTTTTATGTAATGTCCATTGCTTTATACTCTAGATGTTTTGACGAAGAAGTTGAAAACACCATTCCGACACACAATTTGCTAAGATTATTTCCTCTTAACGAGAGATAGAAGTATGTTGTTTACCGCGCTTGGTCACTACGTGCATCAAACTGACTTTGACGTCTGTGTCTTTTAAAACTAACCTTAAACTATTGTAAGCTGCTCATTCATCACTACCTATACTGACACAGGTTATCTTAGTTTATATTTTAGATAATGTAAAGTTGTTCTCATTCTCTGTTGTTCATTCATCACTACCTACACTGACACACGTTATCTTAGTTTATATTTTAGATAATGTAAAGTTGTTCTCGTTCTCTGTTGTTCATTCATCACTACCTACACTGACACACGTTATCTTAGTTTATATTTTAGCAGTGTAAAGACTGTTCTCATTCTCTGTTGTTCATTCATCACTACCTACACTGACACACGTTATCTTAGTTTTCATTTCAGAATTTGCTAAGATTATTTCCTCTTAACGAGAGAAAGAAGTATGTTGTTTACCGCGCTTGGTCACTACGTGCATCAAACTGACTTTGACGTCTGTGTCTTTCAAAACTAACCTTAAACTATTGTAATGTATAATCCTAAATGTATACCATTTAACAATACAATACATGTATAAATTGCAGATGTTTTTTTCTTCAGTTGTTGATCCTTGTTATCTTAGTTTATATTTTAGATAGTGTAAAGACTGTTCTTGTTCTCTGTTGTTCATTCATCACTACCTACACTGACACAGATTATCTTAGTTTTCATGGCTACACAAAACTCCATTAGACCGATTTTGAGTACGTTGAATTGGAATACAATTTCAATGTTAGATATGACTTTAGAAAATTTAAGTTGCGATTTTGTTCATTGTTTTAGGCCAGTGTGAACACTGTCACTTATGGGTGATTTGCCCACCAAGCTGTGGGCATAAAGTCCACCTCTCTGAGGTGAAGGAAAGACTGATTGAATGCTTGCCATTCAAATGTCCTATTTGCTTGTAAGTCAAATAATTTATATGCTTGCTATATGTTGTAGTCGTTTTTTTATGTAATGTCCATTGCTTTATACTCTAGATGTTTTGACGAAGAAGTTGATCGCTTCTTAGAAGATTTTTTCAGTATGTATTTTTATAATTCTTTATCTTTTGAAAATTGATACAGTATAACAGTCAGTAAGATTGATTTCTTTTTATTTCAGAGTGGTCATTGCTAGTTTCTTTAAATAAAATGTTTATTTCAATAAAATGTATTTAAGAATATCAACGTCTCATGTTCTAATTTGTTCTTTTTTCTGCCAAAAATATTTTTCTCCAATCATTGCACATCATAGACAATCGTCGGAAAGTATACATACAGTGTTTCAATTAACATGCCATTAAATGAAAGTATTTGGATAAGTTCCAATCGTTTCTGTATGGTATGATTAATCCATATGCAAAATAGCCGTTATGGACCATCGTCTAAACTCTAAAAAATATAGAATGTCGTAAAATTATAACTTGTTCAGCTTTATGAAAAACTGCCAAAACCGAACCATCAAAGCATACGTTTTTGCGTGGAAACCACACAATAAACGCGTCCCAACTTACACGTGGTCTGAATAGAATTTAATCTTATGCAAATTTCAATTCATCAAGTGTCCGATACTTTAAAGGAGAAAATCATGAGCTTTCCGCCTTTCGAATTGCACATACGCATTCATACACTTGCAGGTACAAGTTTCCAAGCGGTATGGAATCTTTGAAGGATTTGGCCACAAAAACTACACTTTTAAACATTCATAAAGCTTTTGGGGGAAAAGACCAGATGAAACCACAACACAATATTCAAGGCACACTGTTCAATAGTAATTTTCTTTTCACAACGCATGCGCTGTGTACTTCAACCACTTGAAACACTAAAAGTGTTTTGTATGTGTTATGACGATAAAAACTCTGCAAAAAATCAAGACACGCAAGTCGTAAAGTCTGGAAGAATGGCATCGTCGCAGCCAACATCAAGCGAATACCCCGAAATTAGTAAGTGCGAGTTCTTTCTGTTTATTTCAAATTAGCGAATGTTTTCTATCTTCAACAGAATCTATCTCCTCATTTTAAGAAAAATGTAATCGCTGTCGTGACTTTTACACGCCAGAAAAATGTGGTCATACTGTCCATCTGTCCCCGTTGATGGAGTCACGGGGAAAATTCCAATGCAAAATTTGCGGGTTTGTATGCCTTTAAAGATATTTTAATCTCAGGTTGCGTTTCATGTCATTGATTTTTACTCTTCATTCATGTAGTGTATCGGACGCAGGTGTCGATGTAGCTGTTCGCCGATTTTTGATGTAAGTTTGTAATTCATGGGTGTGTTTATACCTTACTGTGTGCTATTATATAAAGACTAAATATATATATATGTTTGAGGTATAAACTGTCATACGGAAGCAGCAATTTTATATAGTGGTTCTTATTTCATTCATTCAGAAAACTGTGTACAGAGGGCATCATGTTTGACGTTCAACATTGACAACGAAGATTTAATGTAACAATATCAATAAAAATTTACAAATGTTGAATGACTCGTTTTTTAAGCTTGTTTATTTTATCTGAAACAAATATTTTAAGCCAATCTTTACAAGTATATTTTAGTATCTCAAGTCTGTTAACGTGTGGGTCGACATCTTCAATGCTTTTCATAAAATCTTTCATAACAGTCTCCTTAGACACGCTTTTCAAGGCATCTCCTCATTTTCAGACGGACGAGGTCATGAAGCAAATTGGCATGGAATTCAATGCGTAAAACAGCCTGCATTCATAAGAAATCGTCGGCGGTTTAAATTAGACGATTGTAAAGTGCATGGATTCGTTTCCGAAGAGTCCGAGAAAATGATGCAAGCATTCAACCAGTTTATGGTACTCGTGCGAAAGGGTACTGCGAGTGTTACAAACGGTGGTGGTGATGAAGCATGAAAAAGCTGTTTGTCAAAATCTATTTGCCAATAAAGCTAAAGATCATTTCCATATGTTGGTGTATTACAGCGACGGCAAGTTCACTGATTCAAACACTAACAGAGTATGGAGTAAAATGAAGGAAGAAAAAAGAATTGCTTGATCGAGTCAGCAGATTATCAAACCTCAAATTATGGAGTCGTACATACAATGTGAAGGACTTGTTACATTACTTCGACTTTTGGTGATGATCAGATATTCGAGCGGCTGCCACACGCTAATAAGCAAGACGTAAAGAAAGGGATGGAGAAACGTATCGTGAGGCGAGATGACGGCTGTAAGCGTAAAAGAGGTGGTGGTGATAGTACGTATGGAGAAGATGACTGGTGGGTGCATGTTGCTAATAAAAATCCAGGGGAATTGCAACGCATGATACAAAATTTAGGGATAAGAGATGTGAGTAAGTTTCTATCGTATGCAGCGAGATTTATGCCAGAGTTCAAATTCGATTCTTTTATTTACGATCCTCGTAGAGGTGTAATGGAGAATCAAATTAACGAACAAATTAAGGTTCGAGGTATGGTGAACGGGAATCTACCAGTAAGAAAGGTAGAGTTGGAACAAATGCGACTCGTACTGGTACAAAAGTTAGAGACCATTTCGAAGTTAGATGAGGAGATTCAGTGACTACTGGAAAAAGATGAAGATATTGAGGCAGATATTGACGGGTCATCGGAATACAGCTGCGAAGTCTGGGGTGCGTTGGCCGAAATCAACGAAGCACTGAGCGTGTTAGAGTCGAATAGGAGAACTGAGGAACTCGCGAACACATCAGCAAGTACGGCATCGAGTGAATCACGACGCTGCAGAGTCAAGACGATAGAGAAGACGATACCTACTTTGTTAACTAAAGCAAATTTCTTGTACAATTTAACAAGTCTTTCCTCATAGTCGCTTTAAAATTTTACATTCATTTACATTTAAAACATTTAACCGGGGATAAAACAATGTACAAGATCGCTGTATATGAAATGGAACGTAATCAGTATTTTTCTTATGAAATCATTCTTACAGTTTACATACACCAAATCATATGTGTGTTAAACCTTTATGGAAAAATAAAAACAGTAGAAGCATAAAATAAAAGTACTAAATTCAGTACTTATTGCGTAAAGAAACCAATCTCAAGAACGCCAATTAATTTCACTGGCAGTTTACATACACCAAATCATATGTGTGTTAAACCTTTATGGAAAAATAAAAACAGTACAAGCATAAAATAAAAGTACTAAATTCAGTACTTATTGCGTAAAGAAACCAATTTCAAGAACGCCAATTAATTTCACTGGCAGTTTACATACACCAAATCATATGTGTGTTAAACCTTTATGGAAAAATAAAAACAGTACAAGCATAAAATAAAAGTACTAAACTCAGTACTTATTGCGTAAAGAAACCAATTTCAAGAACGCCAATTAATTTCACTGGCAGTTTACATACACCAAATCATATGTGTGTTAAACCTTTATGGAAAAATAAAAACAGTACAAGCATAAAATAAAAGTACTAAATTCAGTACTTATTGCGTAAAGAAACCAATCTCAAGAACGCCAAATAATTTCACTGGTAACTGCTAATGAAAGAAAAGTAGTTTAACGATTGCCTTACGCGCTGGGTGAAAAAAAAAACGCATAAAGAAAATCAGCGTGGTGATAGTTTTTTCAAAATAATTAATATAAGAAATTTCGAAATCAATTTGGTATGTTCATTGTTTATGTAAAAGCACTCACGTCAAAGTCTCAGGCAAAGTCATCAGTAAACGGCGAAGGCATCAGCAAAGAAAACCAACAGCTAAAATGGCTACACAAAACACTATTAGACCGATTTTGAGTAAGTTGAATTGGAATACAATTTCAATATTAGATATGACTTTAGAAAATTTAAGTTGTGATTTTGTTCATTGTTTTAGGCCAGTGTGAACACTGTCACTTATGGGTGATTTGCCCACCTCTCTGAGGTGAAGGAAAGACTGATTGAATGCTTGCCATTCAAATGTCCTATTTGCTTGTAAGTCAAATAATTTATATGCTTGCTATATGTTGTAGTCGTTTTTTTTTATGTAACGTCCATTGCTTTATACTCTAGATGTTTTGACGAAGAAGTTGATCGCTTCTTAGAAGATTTTTTCAGTATGTATTTTTATAATTCTTTATCTTTTGAAAAATAATACAGTATAACAGTCAGTAAGATTGATTTCTTTTTATTTCAGAGTGGTCATTGCTAGTTTTTTTAATTAAAAATATTATATATCAATAAAATGTTCGTCTCGCCGCCTCCCGACCCCCCTTAATCCCATTAGATGCGTATATCGTAATTGTTGATCATCAGTATCCAACAATCGGTGTTGTTGTTGTTTGTTTTTTTAGTGAAAGTCGTCCTAGCAGGGTTAATCTGACCTGAATACAAATCCGCAGAATTTGACCTTTGACCTTTCAGCTTTTGTTACTATTTTTAGTAACTAACCTTGACGGACCTTGTATTTTGCTGAGTCATTTTTACCGTTGGTGTACTTTGACCCGCACGTGATAGACTTTGATACTAAAGTGGCGTGATATGACGTCACTAACCTATATTATATAAACAGCAGCGTCGCGGCCGTTTCATTATTCGATATGAACTCGTATAACGAAGACGAAAAAGAAGATATCATGATAGACGACTCTGAAATGAACGAAATCAACAACTCACATGATCTAATTGAAGCAGCTATAGCAGACGAAGCTAAGAGCGGCGGCCATGCTGCATACGCACAAGATTGTCAAAACTCTTTTTTCTTGTTATTTTTATTGATAATTGTGCTTATTGCAGTTTGAAAGTGAGGACACATTTATGCTTATCCTTATGTCACCAGTTAGGGCCAGGCTTAAACACTTTTAGTTGCATTGTCGCAGATCTGCAGCGAATGAGCAAGAAGATCACATCGACCAGTTAGATGCGTGTAATGGCGATCTAAGGCTTGGCCGCGATCATTTCGAAAAGCGTTTGAAGGGCGTTCGCGAAGAACTCTTGGAAGCACAGAAAAATCTCCAATTGAACTATTGACACCTAATAAATCAACGCCGATTAAACAAACAACTCTGGATATGTTCTCTCGTAAACCAGCAAATCCTGATAACATAGCGGTGACGAATTATGATCCATTCGATAAAATTCAGAGTGTCGACAACGCGATATTCGTTGAGAATAGACGCAAGTTTGACTTAGACGAATGTAAAGTACATGGCTTCGTATTTGAAGAAAACGAGAAAATGGCGGCGGCGTTCCAAAAGTTTATGGAACTTGTAAAGAAAGGAACAGCTTCAGTACAAACGGTGGTGTTGATGCAACATAAAAACGCTGTTTGTCAGAACTTATTTGGAAACAAACCGACTGACCACTATCATATGCTGGTATATTATAGTGATGGAAAATTCACCGACAGCAATACAAATCGCGTATAGAGCAAGATGAAAAACGAAAAAGGCGTTGAATGGAATTCGCAACAAATCATTAAGTCGCAATCTATGGAATCCTACTTTCAATGTGAAGGTAGATACATAGTAAGTATCTTTGGCGATAATCAAATCCTTCGCCGTCCACAACATGCAAATAAGCCAGACGTAAAGTGTGGCATGCAATGCAAGAACGTATTGTCCGAAGGGATGATGACCGTAAACGAAAGAGGCGGTGATGCGAAGTATGGTGAGGATGATTGGTAGGTAAATGTAGCTATGAAAAACCAAGGTGAATTGCAAAGGTTAATTCAAAGCTTAGGAATTAGAGATGTTATGCTGCACGTTTCATGCTAGAGTTCAAATTTGATAGTTTCATTTATGATCCAAGACGAAACGTAATTGAGAATCAAATAAATGAGCAAATTAAGAAAGTTTACTGTAGTTGGGATTGGTGGGATACGCGTACGTACGTATGTAATAGTCGCTACAATATCGTGCGTTTGTTCATTTATAACTTGACGTTATAATCTACCACATGTTTTCGTGCGTTCGAGCGTCGGTTGTCATATTCTGCAGCAGGGCGTAGTTTACATAGCCTAACAGACATCGTCGCCAAATTAAATATTGCGAGCCTAGACAGAGGTTAAAATGAGGGTTTAAATGCACAGTGATCCAAGACGAAACGTAATTGAGAATCAAATAAATGAGCAAATTAAGAAAGTTTACTGTAGTTGGGATTGGTGGGAATGTTTTGAAAGTAGACTACCACAATTTGAGAATGCAATTAAGCGTGGTGCAACAAAAGGCGTTGATGATTCAATTGAATGTTTACAGCGTATTAAGGCAGAATGGCATTAGATGTAAGCATTTCGCGAATGACGTATTTAAAATTGTGTTGAAAAAAGAGCAAAAGAAATGTGTACACACTGATGCGCCAAAAGAAAAGGAGGCGATTATTGATCCATTCATCGGTATATCAACAGAAAAACATCCAAGGTTCATACAAAATCGACGCGATTATGATATCAACGACTGCAAAGTTCATGGTTTTGTATTCGAAGCGAAGGAGAAATACAACAAAACATTTGATGAATTCTTCGATCTCGTAAAGAAAGGTACAGGTTCTGTACAAGCTGTAGTCCTAGTCACTCACGCAAATGCAATATGTCACAATCTATTTGGAGGTAAAAAAGCAGACCATTTTCACATGTTAGTATACTATAACGCTGGCAAGTTTACCGACTCAAATGCAAATAGAATTTGGAGTAAGTTTAAGATTGAAAAAGGCGTTGAATGGAATAGTCAAATGATCATAAAGCCACAAAGTATGGAGGCCTATGTTCAATGTGAAGTACGTCTCGTAGCTGCTGTCTTCGGAGACAAACAAATACTGGAGCGTCTGCGTCATGCCAACAAACCTGAAGTAAAAGCAATAATGCAACAACGCATCGACGATCGTGATGATGATAGAAAGAGAAAGCGTAAAGATGATAAATACGGCGATGATGATTGGTGGGTTAGCGTAGCTCATAAAAACGCAGGTGAATTGCAAAGTTTAATTACTAGTTTGGGTATTAGAGATGTTAGTAAATTTTTAAGCTATGCAGCACGTTTCATGCCTGAATATAAATTTGACGGATTCATTTATGATCCACGTAGAGCAGTGATTGAAAATCAAATTAATGAAGAAATTAAGAGAGTATACAGGTCTTGGGATTGGTGGGAATGTTTTAATAGCAGAAAATCGCAATTTGAAGCGGCGATTAAACGAGGTGCTACAAAGGATGTAGACGATTCAATTGAGTGCTTGCAGAGAATTTTAAGGCAAAATGGGATAAGAGTAAAGCATTTTGTAAGAGATGTTTTCAAAATAGTCCTAAAACAAGAGCAAAAAAAGAATTGCTTATTCTTGTATGGGAAAAGCAATACGTTCAAAAGTACAATTAGCAGAAGTATTGTTAATATGGTACCAATGATTGGTCAGCAGATTACTAGTAGGGAGTTTGCATTTCAAGAATGTCTAGAGGTGAATGTAATATTTAGTGAGGAAACTAAGATTACACCAGATATAGTACAATCTGTAAAGCAGGTTTATGAAGGTACCGATCATCTCGTCAACCGGAAGGGAAAAAGTGGCATATTGATGGAAAGAACGCCAGTCATTTGCTGCAGCAATTATCATCCTGCTCAATATGTTCCTGATGAAGAACAAACTCTATTGAACAGAATGCATTTTTATCGATTTTCTGTGCATGATTCATTAAAAGATATTAAAGGAGAATTTACTCCATTAATGTGGGAAGAATTGTATAATATGTATCTAAAACCAAAAACTCCAGAACCAATCTTTTATTAATAAAATATTTCATTATGATTACAAGGTGTGTTATTTTCTTCTATATCATCGTCCTCATCTTCGAAACGTACTCTCTTACTAGGAGGGCCATCACATAAATCTATTTGACTTAAAGGCAAACAATCTACATCAGCTTTTTCTAATCCTGGAAATATACTATCTAAAAATTCATCAGGAATATTAGGTCCAATTTGATAAGTACCACTAGGAGGCTGCCATGGTACTTGATCAGCGTGTGGGAATTTTCTATTTTGATTCCATAAACTGCCTCTACCAGGGAGTCCTCCGTCAAGAACGCCGCCGTTTTGCATAGAATTAGCACAAGTACGCATATGAAACATATTAGCTCCACACCAACCTTTGAAAGGTCCATGACTAAAAGACAATGGAGCCCATCCCATAACATTTCGTCTATAGCTAAATTGTATAGAATAATCACAAAAAAACTCCCAAGTCGTAGTCGCAGACGCCTCTGGAATCTGGGGTACCTTAAACATAATTCTAGCAGGAGGATGCTTGTTAATAGATAAAGTATTCATAAATTGTTTAGAGGCGTTGATAAATGTTGGCCAAACTTCTGATCCTTCTACTTCAGCTGAATCTCCAATAAAAGGTCCAGCAAAACCAGCACCTTGAGTACCAGGAAAATTATGATTTGCGTCGCCAGTTCTAGCTCCTGAAGCATATCCATAGTTCTGATAATTATAATAATCATCGATGCCGTGGGTACGATATCCAGTTGAATCACATGAAGGAGCTATCGTAGGATTACCTCCCCATGTAGCATTTGCATCATACAAATCATACTCGTAAGATTGTAAAAGAGCTCTCAATGACTTCAAGAAATTCTCTTTGTTATCTTCAGATAAATCATTAAAACCACTCCAATAACTATTAGCTGCATAAGGCTCTAAATTAGTAGCAAAAGGCATAGCAGGATGAAAAGATACGTTTTCAGAGTTAGTCCACGTATAATTAAATTCATCTACCTGCTTAATCATTTTAAAATCAGGGTGTCTAAACATATTCATACTATGCTGATCCCAACTATAATGTTTGCCTGCTAAATTATTAGTACGCTGATACTGCACTACCCAAGGCTCACAATGATGAACAAACGCCTTCAACTCCTCTGGAGTTGTAAAATCCTGAGAACCTACATCATAATAACATTCATTTATATTATAACCTGGGAGAAGGTAATCATTATCTGTAACATTATACAAATAAATATTAGGTACACTTTGCACCTGCGTCTCATTCTGACTAGCAGAAATAGCAAAAGGAGACCAACCCCCAACATCTAACGTGTATACTATCTATACGAATTTCTCTAGCCATCTGAGACAACGCGACCCATTCTCTAGGCATCACCGCCTTCGGTAAAGCATTACCTACAGGTAAAACTCTCCAATCTTTCCATGCACTATCACAAATACCAAACCTAGCCTGATTAGAGTTATGATAAGCAATCTTATGACGATACGTCTGCATACATGAGAAAGGCGTCCATCCATTATGAAGGCGTCCGTCCAAAATGTGAATGAGTGTCTGAACTGGTAACATGGGAAAGATGTCCAAAGTCCACATATGTGGAACAGGAAATTGTAGCACTTTCAAGCTACTTGGCTGCGCTTAAATTCAATGAAGGGGATATATCATTCCTCAAATTATAAAGTGACTTAGACATACTACCTGGCATGTTTATTACAAATGGTGCATTGCATTGTGATACCAATCGAGGCAAATTATCCTCGAAGAGCACAGACAAGGTAAAAAAAAAAGAAGAAGAAAAACACTTAGGCATACGAGAAAGAACTATGTAGATAGTTGTGAACAGCATGAAGGAAAAACTTATGAAGCTGGTGCCTTCTAGTCTCAATAAGGTCATTATAAAACTTTAAATGCTAATTTCTCCTTATCCTTATTTCCTCTTAGAAGGAAATATTTATCTGTTTTACCAGGAAGAGACTTCAAAAATGGAAGTTGCTGACCCAACAAACGCCAGTCCAAACAACGGCTTGAAAACACAAAGAAAGTTTACTGCGGGAAGTGCAATTGTAGAAATGGGAGGCCCTATAATTTGTGATGTTTTCTCCGGTGAACGCCTCGAATGATTTGTGCGAATGGTTTGACGCAAAATGTGAATGAGTGTCTGAACGGGTTAATATGGGAAAGATGTCCAAAGTCCACATATGTGGAACAGGAAACTGTAGCACTTTCAAGCTACTTAAATTCAATAAAGGAGATATATCACTCCTTAAATTATTTAGTGACTTAGACATACACCTGGCATGTTTACTTTTTATGTAGTGTAATCCTTGTGTAATCCAAGTGTAGTTTACTTTTTATGTAGTGTAATCCAAGTGTAGACTGAAACCGGAGATCCGTTTGATTGACAGGTGTATTATATTACAACACTATATAAGTAAGCTCACCGCCGCATTTTCATTATACGTTATGAGCTGGTGGAGTGAAGATCAACTTCTAGAAGACGAAATACAAGATATTAATATGGCAAGTGAAAGTTTCGCCGCCGCCGACGCTTTAGAAAAACTCGTGAAGGAGACACTGGCAACAGACGACGGCGTTGATGATTGGGACGATTTCTCATCATTATGGCAAACACAAACTGACGGCAAACCATCAGAACCTATAATAATCGGAGATGATACTATAATAGATCCTTATGTTGGTATCCAAACAGTAAAGAATCCTATTTTTATCCAAAATCGGCGTCGATTCAATCTCGAAGAATGTAAAGCACACTCGTTTGTATTCCAAAGCAACTCAAAGATGACGAAGGCGTATGACAAGTTTATGGAACTTGCAAAAAAAGGAACTGGTGCTATACAAACAGTCATTTTGATGACTCACAAGAAAGCAGTATGTCAAAACCTATTCGGCAACCAACCTACTGACCATTTTCACATGATGGTTTATTATGACGATGGCAAATTCACCGACTCTAACCCAAACAGAGTATGGAGCAAACTAAAAGATGAAAAAGGAGTTGAATGGAACTCTCAAATGGTAATAAAACCTCAAGCGTTGGAAATTTATTTTCAATGTGAAGGTCGAGAAATATGCTCTGTATTTGGTGACAAGCAAATCCTCGAACGTCTCCGATATGCAAATAAGAAGGAGGTGAAGGAAGGTATGCAGAATCGTATCAACGATAGAGATGACGATAGAAAAAGAAAACGTCAAGATCAACGTTTCGGCGATGATGACTGGTGGATAACTGTCGCAAAAAAGAATCCTGGTGAGTTGCAGAGGTTAATACAGTCATTAGGTATAAGAGATGTAAGCAGATTTTTGAGTTATGCTGCAAGATTCATGAAAGAGTATAAATTTGATAGTCTAATTTACGATCCTAGAAGCAGTATAATAGAAAATCAGGTTAATGCTCAGATTAGAAAAGTGTATCATTCATGGGACTGGTGGGAATGCTTTGAGTCGCGTGTAACTCAGTTTGAAAATGCTATAAAACGCGGAGCAACCAAAGGCGTTGAAGATAGTATAGAAACTTTGCAAAGAATAGTAAGAGCAAATGGGATACGTACTTCTCATTTTGTGAATGATGTATTCAAAGTTGTATTGAAGAAGGTACAAAAAAAGAATTGCTTATTTCTATATGGAAAAAGCAATACATTTAAGAGTACTATTAGTCGTAGCATAGTTAATATGGTACCGATGATAGGACAGCAAATTACTTCTCGTGAGTTTGCATTTCAAGAATGTTTAGAGTGCAATGTCATCTTTAGTGAAGAAACTAAGATAACTCCAGACATTGTACAAAGTGTGAAACAGGTGTATGAAGGAACTGAGCACTTAGTCAATAGAAAGGGTAAAAGTGGGATTCTGATGGACAGAACACCAGTCATCTGCTGTTCTAACTACTCACCAGCACAGTTTGTTCCTGATGAAGAACAGACATTACTTAATAGAATGTTTTTCTATCAATTTTACGTGCATGAGTCGTTGAAAGATATAAAAGGAGAATTAACTCCATTAATGTGGAAAGAGTTGTATAATATGTATGTAAAAGAGAAAACACCTGAACCAATTTTTTATTAATAAATTTATTATGTAATCAATAAAATATTTCTACATTGTCATCTTGTGTAATATTATCATTGTCTTCATCAAAATCTTCTTCACAAGAATAACCTTTATAATCAGTTTTTTGATCTGCAAAACGTACTCTCTTAGTGGGGGGTCCGTCGCATAAATCAATTTGACTCAAAGGCAAACAAGAAACATCATCTCGACTAATACCTGGAAATGTTAAATCTAAATATTCTTCAGGAATATTACTTCTAATTTGATATGTGGCAGCAGAAGGTTGCCAAGGTACATCATACGCATTTTCAAATTTTCTATTTTGATTCCATAAACTTGCTTGATTAGGAATAGCACCATTAAGTACACCGCCGTTTTGCATAGCATTAGCACACGTACGCATATGAAACATATTAGTTCCACACCAACCTTTGAAAGGACCATGACTGAAAGACAGAGGTGCCCAACCAAGTACATTGCGTTTATAGCTAAATTGAACAGAATAATCACAAAAAAATTCGCAAGTAGTCGTCGCAGACGCCTCTGGTATCTGAGGTACTTTAAACATTACTCTACAAGGAGGATGCTTATTGATAGACAAAGTATTCATGAATTGTTTAGAGGCGTTGATAAATGTAGGCCAAACTTCAGCTCCTTCTTGACCTGCTTCGGCTCCAATGAATGGACCAGCAAAATTTGCTCCTTGAGAACCAGGATAATTATAATTAGCACTTCCAACATTTTCTCCAGACGCGTAACCATAATTTTGATAATTATAATAATCATCAATTCCATGACTTCGATAAGCAGCTGAATCGCATGAAGGAGCTATAGTTGGATTACCTCCCCATGTAGCATTAGCAGCATCATAAAGATCATATTCAAATGATTGCAATAAAGATCTTAAACTCTTTAAAAATTTCTCCTTATTTGCCTCAGTTAAACCGTTAAACCCACTCCAATAAGAATTAGCAGCATAAGGCTCTAAATTAGTAGCAAAAGGCATAGCAGGATGAAAAGAAACATTCTCTGAATTATGCCACGAATAATTAAACTCGTCTACTTGCTTAATCATTTGAAAATCAGGATGCCTAAACATATTCATACTTTGTTGATCCCAACTATAATGCTTAGCATCTCCAGTATTAGTAGCCTGATACTGTACTATCCAAGGCTCACAATGCATGATAAAAGCCTTCAACTCCTCTGGCTGTGAAAAATCCTGAGAACCTACATCATAATGACACTCGTTTATATTATAACCAGGCAAAAGATAATCATTATCAGTAACATTATAGAGATAGATATTAGGAACACTCTGTACCTGAGTCTCATTCTGACTAGCTGAAATCGCAAAAGGAGACCATCCCCAACATCTAACATGAATACTATCAATTCTAATCTCTCTAGCCATCTGAGACAATGCTACCCATTCTCTTGGCATCACCGCCTTCGGTAAAGCGTTACCAACAGGCAAAACTCTCCAATCTTGCCATTCACTATCGGCGATGCCAAATCTAGCCTGATTAGAGTTATGATATGCTATTTTATGACGATACGTTTGCATACATGAGAAAGGTATCCATCCATTATGTTTACGTTTCGCATTAGCGGTATCATCGGCTCCAAGAATATCACCGCCTGTTGTCGATACATTAGGATCATTAGGCATACCGTCGACGGCGTCTTCAGATGATTCTGATATAAAATCTAACTGTCTAGTTACTTCGTCTAAATCAGAATTAACACTTTCAGTCCTAGATACTTTACTTGAGGATGCTTCGTCGCCGTCTCCTTCGTGTTGTCTCTTCTGGCTACTTTTGTATCCAGAATCAGGTGCGTCGGTGGTTTCTACTTTCGCCTTTTTTGAAGGAGGTTCTATAGCAAGATGATCTCTATATTCTATAGTAAAGGGATTACTATATCCACGTCGAGTGTCTGCACCAGTTGCCCACTCGAGAATAAATTGCGCTATACCACGGGCTACAGCTTCTGTATATACACCCCCGCCAAGTCTTTGGTTGAGGAATACTACAATTTGATCAACAGTTTGTTCAGCAAGAAATTCTCTAATGTTTTCCCAGTCGAATGCTCCTGTATTTAAAAGCCAGTTAATAGAATCACGGATATGAGCCATTAGTGTCGACAACGCGATATTCGTTGAGAATAGACGCAAGTTTGACTTAGACGAATGTAAAGTACATGACTTCGTATTTGAAGAAAACGAGAAAATGGCGGCGGCGTTCCAAAAGTTTATGGAACTTGTAAAGAAAGGAACAGCTTCAGTACAAACGGTGGTGTTGATGCAACATAAAAACGCTGTTTGTCAGAACTTATTTGGAAACAAACCGACTGACCACTATGATATGCTGGTATATTATAGTGATGGAAAATTCACCGACAGCAATACATGATCTAATTGAAGCAGCTATAGCAGACGAAGCTAAGAGCGGCGGCCATGCTGCATACGCACAAGATTGTCAAAACTCTTTTTTCTTGTTATTTTTATTGATAATTGTGCTTATTGCAGTTTGAAAGTGAGGACACATTTATGCTTATCCTTATGTCACCAGTTAGGGCCAGGCTTAAGCACTTTTAGTGGCATTGTCGCAGATCTGCAGCGAATGAGCAAGATCACATCGACCAGTTAGATGCGTGTAATGGCGATCTAAGGCTTGGCCGCGATCATTTCGAAAAGCGTTTGAAGGGCGTTCGCGAAGAACTCTTGGAAGCACAGAAAAATCTCCAATTGAACTATTGACACCTAATAAATCAACGCCGATTAAACAAACAACTCTGGATATGTTCTCTCGTAAACCAGCAAATCCTGATAACATAGCGGTGACGAATTATGATCCATTCGATAAAATTCAGAGTGTCGACAACGCGATATTCGTTGAGAATAGACGCAAGTTTGACTTAGACGAATGTAAAGTACATGGCTTCGTATTTGAAGAAAACGAGAAAATGGCGGCGGCGTTCCAAAAGTTTATGGAACTTGTAAAGAAAGGAACAGCTTCAGTACAAACAGTGGTGTTGATGCAACATAAAAACGCTGTTTGTCAGAACTTATTTGGAAACAAACCGACTGACCACTATCATATGCTGGTATATTATAGTGATGGAAAATTCACCGACAGCAATACAAATCGCGTATGGAGCAAGATGAAAAACGAAAAAGGCGTTGAATGGAATTCGCAACAAATCATTAAGTCGCAATCTATGGAATCCTACTTTCAATGTGAAGGTAGATACATAGTAAGTATCTTTGGCGATAATCAAATCCTTCGCCGTCCACAACATGCAAATAAGCCAGACGTAAAGTGTGGCATGCAATGCAAGAACGTATTGTCCGAAGGGATGATGACCGTAAACGAAAGAGGCGGTGATGCGAAGTATGGTGAGGATGATTGGTGGGTAAATGTAGCTATGAAAAACCAAGGTGAATTGCAAAGGTTAATTCAAAGCTTAGGAATTAGAGATGTTATGCTGCACGTTTCATGCTAGAGTTCAAATTTGATAGTTTCATTTATGATCCAAGACGAAACGTAATTGAGAATCAAATAAATGAGCAAATTAAGAAAGTTTACTGTAGTTGGGATTGGTGGGATACGCGTACGTACGTATGTAATAGTCGCTACAATATCGTGCGTTTGTTCATTTATAACTTGACGTTACAATCTACCACATGTTTTCGTGCGTTCGAGCGTCGGTTGTCATATTCTGCAGCAGAGCGTAGTTTACATAGCCTAACAGACATCGTCGCCAAATATTGCGAGCCTAGACAGAGGTTAAAATGAGGGTTTAAATGCACAGTGATCCAAGACGAAACGTAATTGAGAATCAAATAAATGAGCAAATTAAGAAAGTTTACTGTAGTTGGGATTGGTGGGAATGTTTTGAAAGTAGACTACCACAATTTGAGAATGCAATTAAGTGTGGTGCAACAAAAGGCGTTGATGATTCAATTGAATGTTTACAGCGTATTAAGGCAGAATGGCATTAGATGTAAGCATTTCGCGAATGACGTATTTAAAATTGTGTTGAAAAAAGAGCAAAAGAAAAATTGTTTATTTTTGTATGGAAAAAGTAATACATTTAAATCTACTATTAGTAGAATTTTAGTACACATGGTACCAATGATTGGGCAACAAATTACATCAAGAGAGTTTGCTTTTCAAGAATGTTTGGAATGTAATGTATTTGTTCTTTTTTTCGGTCAAAAATATTTTTCTCCAATCATTGCAAGTGTACTTGATAATTTCTAGCCCATTTGCTATCGTAGTAATGTCTTGTAAACTATCAAAGAAGGATTTCGTGACTTCTTCCTCATCAATTTCTGATACTGCATCATCAAAGTATATCGATACCCTTTCATCATTCGAAAATATGGCCTTGTTGGAAATGTGTACACACGGTTTGAAGCAAAATGTGAATGAGTGTCTGAACGGGTAACATGGGAAAGATGTCCAAAGTCCACATATGTGGAACAGGAAATTGTAGCACTTTCAAGCTACTTGGCTGCGCTTAAATTCAATGAAGGGGATATATCATTCCTCAAATTATAAAGTGACTTAGACATACTACCTGGCATGTTTATTACAAATGGTGCATTGCATTGTGATACCAATCGAGTCAAATTATCCTCGAAGAGCACAGACAAGGTAAAAAAAAAAGAAGAAAAACACTTAGGCATACGAGAAAGAACTATGTAGATAGTTGTGAACAGAATGAAGGAAAAACTTATGAAGCTGGTGCCTTTTAGTCTCAGTAAGGTCATTATAAAACTTTAAATGCTAATTTCTCCTTATCCTTATTTCCTCTTAGAAGGAAATTTTTATCTGTTTTACAAGGCCGAGACTTCAAAAATGGAAGTTGCTGACCCAACAAACGCCAGTCCAAACAACGGCTTGAAAACACAAAGAAAGTTTACTGCGGGAAGTGCAATTGTAGAAATGGGAGGCCCTATATTTTGTGATGTTTTCTCCGGTGAACGCCTCGAATGATTTGTGCGAATGGTTTGACGCAAAATGTGAATGAGTGTCTGAACGGGTTAATATGGGAAAGATGTCCAAAGTCCACATATGTGGAACAGGAAACTGTAGCACTTTCAAGCTACTTGGCTGTGCTTAAATTCAATAAAGGAGATATATCACTCCTTAAATTATTTAGTGACTTAGACATACACCTGGCATGTTTACTTTTTATGTAGTGTAATCCTTGTGTAATCCAAGTGTAGTTTACTTTTTATGTAGTGTAATCCATGTGTAGTGTAATCAAAGTGTAGTGTAATCCAAGTGTAATCCTTGGTCAAAAATGTGGTTATGTGAAAAGGTACCATCTGTTAGATTGTTCTAACATGAACTTGAAACATGTTCCTGTCAGAACGGCAAAAGATACGCGGACAAGGATTTTGTCGTTCAGACAAAACAATATTAAAGCTGCTAATGAACTCGATGTTATTCGTGCGTACCAGACTTATGTACATTGATTTACGCAAAAACCCTGCATGTCCTGTTAAATGTGCTATATGATCTGTGTCAAACCAGAAAAAAAGATTTATATTTGATGCCTGTGAACTCATTTTCGTCTGTGACACCACTTTTCTTCAGCCACAAGAAATCGTTTACCCCAGTCGTCCGTCAGTTTTTCTCTTCTTCCATCGTCGTTGGTTATGTCCACCCTACGTAAATCATCTCACGTTCCGTCGTCCCCTTAAAGTTTTACGTCCATCCCTTGGTGATTTTTAACATGTCAACTTCCATTTCAATCCCATCACAGTCACTGTTATTATCGTCTACATCTTTGCTGTTGTCGCAACTTCGTCATCAACTTCTCCACAATCAGCGATACCATTCTCAACGTCAAAGTTATCACCTCTGTTGCCGTTATCACCATTATTACCACCACCCTCATCACCAGCATCAAAACCGTTACAATCGCAGCTATCGTCTTGGTCTTTACAGTTATCACCATCATCGTTAGGAATCAATGGTATTGTCTTATTCGTTTATGTATTTTGTTTGACGAGCGAAAGAAAAAACTGTCAACTTTTATGTGTTAGTTTATTCTACGATAGTTTTAATATTTGTTTTTATAATGTTGATGTATTGCATAGTTCACAATTGTTGTCGCTGTTTCCCATCTGTACATACCGATCACATAGAAATGACTGCGTATCGTGTTCAATCATTGTTGGTTTTGTCCCGTGTAGAAATGTGTCAAAAACATCAGTCTAAAAATATGTATATTTGTTTGTTAGTTTGCTTGTCATTGATTCAAAACTGTTTAACCATTCATCATTTTTTATTTTTTTGTTAAAAATGTGCACAATATATGTATGTAACTTTAATTTACCTGCATTGGCATTATATTTGTTGGATCCACGTGTCTGTGAAATGAAAGTTCAATGCCGGATGTGAGGGAAATGATGCAGTAAATGATAAGAACGCTCTGGCAAGATATCTAACAATGCTAATAAAGGAGTGGGATGAACATAAGTCTATATTAAAGGGAAATGAAAAGAGCCTTCAAAGACCTACCGACCGGCATGATGCAGTAAATGATTCCCATGAAAGATGCCTGACAATGTGAATAAAGTATCGGTGAGTCAATATTGATCATGACTCAATATTGAAGAAAAATTAAAAAGTAAAATCATGTTGGGAAGATAAGATCCTATGGTGTAGGCAGTATCATACAGAGGGAAGCAATGCAGTTAATGAATGACGGGCTCCTTCTGGAAAGATATCAAACAATGTACCGAAAAGGGGTTACTGATTTGAACAAGCATGGGTCTTACATTTGAATGTGATTCTATTTAATTCTTTACTCGAAGTATGAATGAGACCTATTTTTCTTCAAAGAAACTCATGCGTTTGTAAATGATTATTCATGTGAAGGCCAACACTTTAAAAAAAGGGGGGAAATGTTCTTGTTGCACTTTAGCTTTAACAGTGCTTCATAAACGAGTTAAATCTGTGATAAGAGAGCAAATAATCTGAGCATCATGGTTTCGATTGAGAAATACCCATGTTTCTGCGGTGCAGGCCTCGAGAGAATCCTATCTAAGAAGGACGATCGTGCATATGTTAAATGTAGAGGTGAAGGATGCACATTGTTCTGCCTCGAAGAAAGGTACCGTATCATAATGGATGCCTACGAAACAAAAGTCGTCAAAGAATTCAAACTTAACAAGTTCCCCTTGTGTGAATGCAGTTATCCAGGCAGTCTCAAGGTCTCCCAATCGAGCAATAGTCCTGAAAGGCCATATTTTCGATGTCAATCCATCGCCGATGAAGAAAAATGTAGCTTTTTCCATTGGCGGAGGGTAACTACGAATAGCGAGATCATTAAGAAAAAAAGAAAGGTTGAATTGAATGACCACAAGAGGAAAGGAGCTTTTAAACTTTGATTCGTTAAAAGAAATGATTTATAACTATTGTTACATGATAATACATAATCCTGTAAATTATACTTATTATTGTTATATACTTAAATATATTATTAGTTAACTAGTTAGTGATTTTTATAAAATGCCTTACTCATACATGCATGTGTATGTTAACCACAATAACAGGAAAAGCTTACGTATAAGACGTGGTCAACCTACTGACCACAGACAACGTACAGGATACATGGTTAATCAACTGACCACAGTTTACGCACAAGCGGTTAATCGTACGTCATTGTGCAATCACATATAAGCCGAGAATCGAAAGCTGTAGTTATGTTGGTGCTTAGTAGAAGTCCACATCAGAAGAAAGCCTCATGTAAAAGAAAACGAACTATTTACGAAGATAACCAAAGAATCCAGATATATATCCAATCCATCAACGAAAGAGTCACTGAAAGTCTGAAAGCAGTTGTCTTAGATAAGTTTGAACATTTAACATTTATATTATAACGTTTATATTAAAATTATTAGTATATAAAATATTTTAAGAATTGACAACAACTTCTCCACAAGGTTTTACTCCTTTTGTTACGAGCAATTGAACCAAAAGCGTCCATTTTATTATTAGTCGGGACGTTCGTAACACTATGTAGAAAAACCATCAACTGTAGAAATAGAAGAATATAAAATAGTCTGAGAAAAATGGTCGCGCAAACTTGTAAATAGAAATCAAATGAAAAAATATCAAGTTGTCTCTGAATAACAAATAAAAATAGACGAAGGTGCCGATACCATTCCCTGTGGCTATCATTGATTTCCGACATTAAAGTTCACATCGTCAGACTTTTCCCATACACGATGTGGTGACAGATGATATTTTGTTTCCATCCATTCATCAAATTGTGCAAGAAAATGGCATGGACAGAGAAGAAATTAGCGAGTCGATTGATTTAATGATAACCGACTCCGATAAAGATGAAGAAGTCTTTTCCGAACGACAATCAAATGCGGAGTTTCTAAATGACAGTGATGTGTCGCATCTCAGGCGCATGTGCAGTGCATCTCAACCACTTACGAAATTGAAAGCGCTTGTGGAGATACAACACCATAAAACCATATCTTTCGTCCTTTCTCTTTCTTTTTCTATCATCGTCACGGTCGTTGATTCGGTTCTGCATGATTTGTTTTACTTCAGGTTTATTGGCATGATGCAGACGCTCAAGGATTTGATTGTCGCCAAATACTGCTGCTACTAAACGTCCTTCACATTGTACATACGCCTCCATCGATTGTGGCTGGATGATTGTAAAGTACATGACTGGTGGATTAGTGTAGCTCACAAAAATGCAGGTGAATTACAAAGGTTGATAACTAGTTTAGGAATTAGAGATGTAAGCAAATTCTTAAGTTATGCTGCTAGATTCATGCAAGAATACAAGTTTGATGGCTTCATTTATGATCCTAGGCGAGCGGTGATTGAAAATCAAATAAATGAGGAAATTAAAAGAGTGTATAGAAGTTGGGATTGGTGGGAATGTTTCAATAGTAGGAAAAGTCAGTTTGATGCGGCGATTAAAAGAGGTGCAACAAAAGATGTAATTGAGTCAATTGAATGCTTACAAAGAATTTTGAGGCAAAATGGAATTCGTACAAAGCATTTTGTTAGAGATGTATTTAAAATAGTTTTAAAACAAGAGCAAAAACGAAATTGTTTATTTCTGTACGGAAAAAGCAATACATTCAAAAGCACTATAAGTAGAAGTATAGTGAATATGGTTCCTATGATAGGACAGCAAATCACAAGCAGAGAATTCGCATTTCAGGAATGTTTGGAAGTGAATGTTATTTTTAGTGAAGAGACTAAAATTACTCCAGACATAGTGCAGTCAGTAAAACAAGTGTATGAAGGAACTGATCATCTTGTCAATCGCAAAGGCAAAAGTGGTATTCTCATGGAAAGAACTCCAGTGATATGTTGCAGTAACTATCATCCCGCTCAGTATGTTCCAGACGAAGAACAAACATTATTAAATAGAATGTATTTTTACAAATTCAATGTAAAAGTATAATGATGGTTATCGCTATCTTATCTTATCTGTATCGATGTTTTTTCCAAATATGCATGGGCGGTTCCATTAAAAAAGAAAACAGGATCGTCGTTGGTAGAAGCTTTTAAAAAGATTTTGTCATCAGGACGTAAACCGACACACATTCAAACGGATCAAGGCTCGGAGTTTTTTAATCGAGACTTTAAGAAACTTTTGGCAGAAGAAAACTTTACCTTGTTTAATACATTTAACGAGACGAAGGCATCCATCGTTGAACGTTTGATACGTACACTGAAAACTAAAATGTGGCGCTACTTCACAGCAAACAAAACCATGAGATACATTGACATGCTTCCTGATCTACTGTATTCTTATAATTATAGCATGCATCGCAGCATTAAGGAAAAACCGATCAACGTTACAAGTGAAAATGAAGATAGAATTCGGCAAAATTTATATGGTGATAGCAAATTAAAAAAACCTACGCATGTAAAATATAAGTTTGATATAGATGACCAAGTACGAATAAGTAAAGGTTTGAGAAGGGGTATTTACCGAATTTTTCAAAAGAAATTTTCACTGTAAGTCAAAAAATACCGCGCAATCCTCATGTATACAAACTGAAAGATCATGAAGGTGACGAACTTCAAGGAACATTTTATGAAAAAGAACTTCAAAAAGTCATCAAGAAAGACGATGTTTATGAGATTGAAAAAATACTTAAGAAACGTGGTAGAGTGGGCAATGTACAATATTTTGTAAAGTGGTCAGGTTACCCTAACAAATTTAATTCATGGGTACCTGCATCGGAAATACATATATAAAACGTAACCGTTTTCATGATTTTTTTCATTTCACATTATACCTTAAAGATGAGCGGGACACACTTCTATCTGACATTACCTAGTAATGCATCTCTCTCTGTATTTCCTGAGAATAAGATTTCGGGTTATCGCGTAAAATTACCTCACGTTGTGAATTTAAATGGTAATTGGGAAGTAGGATTGTATTCAATTACATATCCTCATACATGGTACACGTTGAAAAAAAGTTTGGATACACATATATATCTGACTTACAAAACAGGTTTACCTATTACAGTATTTGTCGACTATGGCTTGTATGAAAAAGCTTTCGACCTGAAAAAATCAGTTAATGAGACTCTTGACAAAGAAGTAAAAGACAATATCAAATTGAGCTTTGACCCTCGCCGTCATCAATATTTTCAGAATCGTTATCACTGTCTCAGATATCGTTGTCATCTTCCACGCTCATGTATCACTCCACGTCCAGCAAAGAAAAAATGTTAACACTCGTGTTTTGTTATTGTCCAGCATACCTTCAATCGTCGCTTGTATAATCTTTTTATTTCTCTTTTTCCGCAATTGTCAGCGTCGTCGTCGTCGTTACAGCGTTCATGCTCCTTCACGTGTTGAGCAAGTTGATATGCCACAATACAGTAGCTACCCTCGGCGTCATTCCACGTCTTTGTCAAGCTCTAGTGAAGAAGAGTTCCGTGTTACCACCGTCTAAGAATAGAGTCTTAAGTGTGACGTCACGTTACCATGGAGCTAAAAAATGCAGTTCTAAACAAAATGTCTTATGCGAGCGCTTTGGACACGCTTCTTTTGTTTTGAATGTCTAAAGCTTTAATTATCCTGTGTAATCCCACAAAAGACAATAAAAAAAACAGGAATGGTTAAAGGGTCATCCAAGGGATCAACTTTTGTTTAAGAAGTGTAAAGGACGCGGGTCAAACGGGCAAAATGGTTTACTGTTTTGCTCCTACATGTCGCCATTCGTCGGAGGGCAACACTTGCAAGTTCTTCGCTTTTTCAAGCGCTACAAAGCAGAACGAAGAGTACAAGAGATGGATTCGACTCATAAGGTATGAACTGATATTCAAAAAGTATTCCTTAATCGGTAAGAATTTGATGAATTACGTGATTTTAAGTGAGATTTACGGACTCTATTCAGGTGAAGAGTTGACATCAGGACATGAGGAGAATCATCGAATACTGAATTATAGAAGCTTCAGCTAGTTGTCTTTTTAACGGTCGCTTTGTATTTTCCGTAGCCAGAACTTTAAATCTGAGTGCTTCATCGTGTTTTTGGATTTTAGATACATTTAAAACCAATGTAGATCTGCTATGTAACGTGCTTGATCGATTCACGAAATGTTTCGCGTCGCTTCGCGATTTTGCCTTCGCTGGTTGTGGAACGCTATGTTGTTGACAACAGAATCACTAAATCGGTTGTTTTTTATTAACAGAAGAGAAGATCGAGAGCCCAGCAAGTACTCAAGAGTATGTAGCTGCCATTTTAGGAATGGCCAGAAAGCCAATGGTCCTGAAGTGTTTGAACGCAATAAGCATAAGTTATTTACTGAACAAAGGGGTCCACCGCCAAAGAAAATAAAGAAGACTGAATCAAAGGTAGAGTCTCTTTCACAGATGATAGAATTTGCCCGAAAAAATGAACAGCCATTAGTAGCTGACACAGAAGAAAACCTGCAAACAACACAGGAGATGATCCTGGAAGCAGAGCTTGACTTTGCCAACAGGGAGCTAAAGGAACTTAACCAAACTGTCCAGTATAAGAGGAACAAGTACACTGTGTCTGCGCTTGGGGAAGATGTAATACGAATGGAGACAGGTCTTCCAACCAAAGAAGTCTTTAATATTGTTAAAAAGCATGCTCTTAGATTTAAAGATAGCGTGAACTATTTTGCTGGATGGAAGGTAGAATCTATCAATTTTGAGGATCAAATTTTTATCACTATAATGAAACTTCGACAGAACTACACACAGCTTCACCTAGCCCAATTGTTTCATTGTAGTGTGGCCACAATTTCTAACATCGTTATAACATTCACTCATGTTTTGCATGAAATTTTGTTTGACGACCTAATGACGTCGATTCTATCCCGGGAAAAAAACAAGATCTCTGCACCCTCCTCTTTCAGGCAATTTGAATCATGTCGGATTGTTATAGACTGCACAGATATTGAGGTTGCTGCACCGGGATTGATGAGTCAGTAAAATGCAACCTATTCATCATACAGAGGAATGAATTCCTTTAAGGTAATAGTTGGTGTTGCACCCAATGGAGTCATTACTTATGTCAGTCGGCTATATCCAGGCTCTATTTCAGACAAGGCCATTGTTCAACAGTCTGGACTCCTTAATCACTTGACAGCTGGAGATATGATTCTGGCAGACAAGGGTTTCCTTATCCAGGATGTTGTACCACATGGTGTCTGTGTCAAGATCCCACCTTTTCTTAATAATGGAACTTTCACAGAGAGTGAGGTCGAGAAAACAAAAGCCTACGACATTTACTAGCGCTGTATGTCCTAGTAAATCTAACAAACTGTAGAGCTCCAAACGTGCCCATGCAGTTGTAAAAATACCAATAAAAATATTTGTTTTATTTTCTTTTTGAAACTCCCAATCACGCTTGTATACAACTTCGACTAAATCGTCATTCAGCAATTGCATGTCGTGAATTTCAATGTCTGCACTATTTAGTCGTTTGTAAAATACAAGCGGATCGGAATAAACTCCATAATTAACATATCATTACGTTGTGCAAATTTACCCTACAGCGAGTTTAAACAAAGTTTTGCTAGCAATCTTAACCCTGGATTTTTCACAATTTTTTCCTTACGCAATAGAATTCCCTCGTGCTTTAGATAGTCGTCGATATATTTTACCCGGTCTGCGTCTGAGTTTACCCAATCCAGAAAGCCCGAAGCTTCTTGTTTCAACCGCAAAAAGAAATTGACATATTCACTAAATAAACTGTCCGATGTTTCTTCAAAATGCCAAATTTCATGCACCTCCAAAATTTTGTAGCCTTTTTCGATTGCCTTGTTCATTTCAATGGTCGCCTCAGTAGGATACTGCACAAATCTTACCCACGCCTCATTATTCAAGGTCATACTATTCAATGGTAATTTTTAATTTACACTTGCGAGATGGCAGCGAAGGTCACATCTCAAGCGCATGCACTGTGTACTTCAACCACTTGAAATACTAAGTGTTTTGTATGTGCTAAGACGATAAAAACTCTGCAAAAAATCAAGACACACAAATCGCAAAGTCAGAATGGCATCACCACAAGCGTCGTTTTATACCTTCAGTAAGTACCGTTTGTCTTTTTTCTGTTCCTTAGGGTGTTTGTATTAACTTCAACAGAGACGTCGATTTTATTTTTTAGAAAAATGTGATCACTGTGAAGATTACATTGTTAAGCCCTCGTGTGGGCATGTAAGCCACCTTGCCGCTGTGATCGAAAATATGTTCAACAAGACGGACATTCAGTTTGAATGTCTCGTTTGCGGGTATGTACATCTATAAAGATTTTTTTCAAGGTAAAATTAATTCATTACAATTAAAGTCATTTAACTTTTTTTTTGTTCTTATAGAATTACGGATTCAGAGACGGATCGTCTAATAAAAGACCTTATCGAGTAAGTTTTAATTCGTTTGTAGTTGTCGTAAAATGTTTTTTTTCTATGTAATATTACATCGCTTACGTATATGTATACAGAAGTGCTAACATGTAAGCAGTAAATTCATACATGTTTCTTATATTTCTTTTAGAACAATGTGTAATGGTTTGACCTTACGAATCGAACAGGAATAAATAAAAATATATATTTACAAAACCTTAACGACTCGCGTGAGATATATCACTCCTTAAATTATTTAGTGACTTAGACATACACCTGGCATGTTTACTTTTTATGTAGTGTAATCCTTATGTAATCCAAGTGTAGTTTACTTTTTAGGTCAACCTACTGACCACAGACAACGTACAGGACATGGGTAATCAACTGACCACAGCTTACGCAAAAGCGGTTAGTCGTACGTCATTGTGCAATCACATATAAGCCGAGAATCGAAAGTTGTAGTTATGTTGGTGCTTAGTAGAAGTCCACATCAGAAGAAAGCCTCATGTAAAAGAAAACGAACTATTTACGAAAACAACCAAAGAATCCAGATATATATCCAATCCATCAACGAAAGAGTCACTAAAAGCAGTTGTCTTAGATAAGTTTGAACATTTAAACATTTATATTATAACGATTATAACGATCATCGTGACGTAACGACGAAAAAACGCTGCTGGACTGCGGCTTCGCTTGCATGTACACAATGGCGATGGAACAAGAGGCAAAAATACACACATTTAAGCATTATTTCTCGAGTTAAATTGAATTGAAAACCTAGGATTTCGCGAGAGAGGTAAGAACAATATACACTTCCATATGAGTGAAAATTGTGTTAAGGTCTGACTACTCCTTTAAGCACAAATTACCTAGGTGTTTTTATGAGTACGATGAGCGATGAGGAAAAGGTTTTATTTAGTAAAGATGATATACAGAATTTTTAATAAATTTCTTGTTCTTTGATACAACTGACTGCGGTGCGTTCTCAACATAAGATGCCAGTTACTAAGGTGTCTCACTTTAGTATGTTCTCTGCCATACAAAATACCATGGCAGAAACCAATAAATTACTTAGTGCTTTACAACCTTTGCGGCAAAAGAAAAATGTTTCTATGTCGAGTCAGAAGACTAAATGCCAGCCTCAGAAGAAGGCCACACACACACCAATTTCAGAGGAAACACGTACGCCAAACTCAGAGGACGTTTTAGATAATCAGCCACTGACGTCATTGATATGCAGCATAATTATGACGATATTGTTAGTTTGTTTGGTGGAAATCATTTTAATAATATTGATTCAAAGAATGACGAGTTTTTGCAAGAAATTGACGTTAGTTAAGACCTTCCCATGCATACGGCTCAGCGATTTATCCCAAATTCGCTTAGATTACAAATGAAAATTTTTCTTCAAATATTGGGCTTGAAGAGCGCAGAAAAATATAGTCAAGCCTTAAAATTTCCATGTCAGCAAGATTTGCGCACTGCAGTTCTACAAGATTCTAGTGTGGGTGTGGCAAGTCCTCTCTCAGTTACTGTCGATGACCAATTAAAATGCTGAGAGACGAAGTCTTGCCGGACTTTGCGCCATTAAGACTACGCTCTTTGATGCCGTTACCTTATTAGTGCATGTAAATTTTAGAGCTGTCATACAAGCTTCGACGTGTAGGCCCACCCATATTTTTTCCCATCCCCTCTCCTCCACTCTAGCCATTGTACCAATACTCGTGGTCTAAATACTGGTTAATTCATGCGCAGTACTCTCTCTCCTACAGTTCCTCCACTCCTCGCTAATGACTAATAGAATTATAATTAAACTTCGACTTAAAGTAAGTCTCGTTTAATTTCCAGTTTGTAACAAAGTGAGACACCTAAGGATCGCACACCTGAATGATATAGCATTACCTTAAGATGGACTCTATTTTTAAAATTACTCCCAAATAATTATCAGATGACAAGAATTGTTTCGGCCAAATTTTGTCTTAACAATGTTTTTCGTTGGGCGGCTACATTGTAATGAATGAAAAAGTGTCCCACTTTGCTCCAGCTTACCCTAAGATATGACGGGAAAAACGACAAAAGTGTTTTATGGCTAATGACGAGTCAAGGTTTTCTAATATGTCTAATCAAAAACAATTGATAACTGTTGATGTAAATGACAAGTTTTAGCTCTAGAAGCTGGATTTCTTTGTATACGATTGAAAAGTAAAGTTTGAAATATTAATTGCAATTCTAAGAAAAATACCAACATTTACCAATACAAAGGGAAGATAAAGAAACAAAAACTCAAATTAAAGTGTCGAGGAACGAGTTTCGCTAATCGGAGCGCACATCGTCATATTTGACAGATAAGCAGTTTAAAAGAAGAGAGACATATTAAAATAGTCTTATCACTTCAGCACTTTCAGTTGGTCCGCAAACTTTGGTTATATTATTTAAATCTACAGCTTGGATCGTGAAATGAAACACCGACGTTAGAGCTCCACGGTTATAAACTTTTTTTTTTGTCAAATTCAATTTCAGTCTATTCCCTTATGCAGTGAACGATTCTGACGATGAACTTTTGATTGAAACTCAAAAAAGAGCCGATCACCAACCGTTGTTGGAGTGATTTTTAATTTAATAAGCATGCATAAATATTGCACACAAAAAACAAACTATTGTTTCTTAGAATCTAACTTGGAAATATTTGAAATACAAATACTTCATCGAAATTTCAAATCAGAACATGGTCAAACCATGTTTTAACAATTATAGCTACTTAGCTACGAACAATCACCCATAAAACGGAAAAACGGCAAAGTTAATTCTCGTTACCTTCAGCAATCTTTGTTGTGTATTTACGACAATACTAAATACACGACGATAACAACAAATGGCGAAAGAATAAATTGACCCGCTTTGTCAAAACCTTAGAAAGGGAAAATATATAACAGGTGCATCTAACTTCGAATCCTACCTTCCCCAGCCAGCGAGAAGTTCTGCACGACCAAGATACGTTTTGAAATATTCCCCATTTCCACTTTTGCATTCTACAAAATTTAATGCAACATTATAGGAAGCTCATAATCGCACCAAAAGAAAAGAACCAACTGCCCAACCATAGCTCAATATATGTGTAGGATATCTCTTGAGCAAGCATGAACTAAAAACTCAACGAAAACTTTAAAATTCCACAAAGTGCCTCATTACCTTCTTAGTTTTTTCTCCCGCTTCCTAATTTTTCTAATTTCTAAAACATTGTGAATAGGCGGAAAGATTTCTTGTATTCATCACAGGTTACTCAACTTTTTCACTTCTTGCACATTAAATACGACAGTTGCTCATATTTTTTTCAACAGTACTGGTGACGAACCATCGTAACAGTTGTATGTGATCTTATATTAAATTAGGCTTCAAACGCAGACCAAGAACTGTCAATGGTGATGAAGGTAGATAATCAAAATGAATACAAGTGTTCAGTCCTCTATTTCCCAACAAACGTTTCTGAAATGCATAATTCAAATAGATGTAGTTTAAATAAATTAATGAAGAGAGAAATGTATGTTGTGGGCATCTGACAAACCTTCTTCAACTGAGCTATCGAACTCAATAAATGCAGTCCATTATTTTCTTTATGCTTTTCACACAACTGAAATTACTTGCCGTTCTATCATATTCATCATTTAAAGAAATAAGCCTACCACAATAAAGTGGTTTGTGTTATTCCCATTAACTGAAAATCGTATGATAAAACATCAGTAAATAGTTGTTTCTATGTTTGTTGTTCCGCGCAACTTCGACGTACGTAGCTAATGGAATCGACTATTGAGCAGGATCAGATACTAATCCTATGAAATACAAAACAGGAATAATACAATTAGAAAATAAAAAGCCACTGGAAAATTTAAAATTTGCAGTAATACCTTGCATGAATATGTACGGGGATTAACTCACGTTCATACAAAATGCTAAAGATCTTTTAACGCCAGTTAAGTTGCTTGTTTTCCAGTGTTTACTTCTTCCGCCCGCATCAATGGCATACAACCAGTTTTGTCGAATGATGCATGAAGACAAATGCAATTATTCATCATCAAATATCAAATAGGTCTTGAGAAAAAAACAATTTTAGGAAAATACGATATAGATAAATTCTTGTGCAGCATGGAAATGCCACTCCACGTAACGACGGTTAATAACATAGCCAGGGGTACCAAACATCTCTAAATAATGACATCTGAAGAAACCCCGGAAAGATCTGCCATTTCATTTTGGAAAGCTGCTATCGTTCTGACCATGATATCAACCATTTTTTCTGCAAAACAATAGGCACATATCACAGATTAATTTCTTGGGTAAACCAATTAAAAAAGATTTCGTATGTAATACATTCTTGATGATTACCAAAACATTTATTACATACAAAGACCAAATGGAGATACAAACTTTATTAGATGATCATCATGCCTCAAACACAAAGCTAGATATATTATTTCTACTAACCACTCACCAATTATTTATTCTATTTTGTCTTCGCGACTCTTCATAATTAACGTGTTTGCTTGTTTCCTCGTTTTGAAAGAACTTAGTGGCTTGAAACTTTAAGTAAATAGCATCGTGATTATCATCAATAATTAGTCGTTGATATGGTCAAAATGGCGACTGAAGTTCACATTATAGAGTAGACGTTTGTTATGCTTTACTGGTTCTTTTGCTTTCATGTATTTTTCTTTCAACCTGGAAAAGTCAATGAAGAAATAACTTGAATAAAGATAACTGCTAATAAATCCACAATGGCTGTAGCTGTTAATCAAACATGAAAATATTTGGATGATAATGCAGCAATGTAATGAGTACTAAATAAGATAATACTAAAATATATTCATTTGTGGTTGCAATATGGCCAATTGTTGCGAGTGTAATCTTTGTTGGTGAAATTTTTGTCTACATGAAATGTACTGGGATAGTTTCTTTTCAACTCTCGGTTATACCTCAGTACACGGTCTGACATTTCTAAATCTAAACCACAACTACTTTGTCTCACATCACTACCAACTCACCCCACATCAACTTATACAAACCCAATAAAAATAATTATGAAAATCAGTCTATGTAGCAAATTGACATAAAATTTTACAAGTTCTTGTTTCTATATCACTTGATTATTGTTAATGAGGGCTATGAAGGAATTGGATCATTAAAAAAGAAATTTCTAATTTAATATTGTGTGCATAAGTTAAACGAATATTTATTCTTCATTTTCTTGTGGATTATTCAGAAAGTGTTCACTTAATTAAATCCTTTGTCTAGGTAATATTGTTACCTTGTATAATTGCCGTTCAAACTTTGTTTGAATAATACTCGCATAATCGCATTCGTCTCTTTCTGTTTATAACGATTAAAAAATTAATACAGCTTTGGATCTATAAGCAGTTATCGTCAAGCATTGTCGTTTTCTAACATTCCTTCGAAGTAATATCTGCTTTGGCCTTTGCCTTACCATGTGCTCGATACATTTTGATGAATTTGCCTCATCTGTTGCTTTCAAAGAGAGCCCATCGCTTCTCACAATGATGTGGACTTGTTTCTCATTGAACGTCTTTGACACAGTATGATTTCTTGTAACCTACACTGTTGTGTTTTCCCGATTTTACTTGTACAATCTAACAACCCACGATCAACCAAGCCACAATCCACAATAATAATGAGGAGAAAAAGGGATGGGCTGATTCCGATTGAGGCCTAGTAACTAATGCAAAACACGTCCGGAAATTTGATATGTTGTTTCCAGTATCCTGTCAACTACGTTTTACTCACTGATCTGATAAAAGACTGGATATAGCTTCTACAGGTAGCAAAAGTGAAGCCTAATTATATATGCAAAATTCACTTCCGGTTACTACGGCGAGATACAAATTACTATAGAAATGTATGGCGGATAACGTTTACAAACATGGATTTTCGAATATTTAAGACCTTTCGCGACTCCTTACTTACCTCATGTATTAGTCATGGATAAAACCGGTTATGCGAATCGATTTGACATCAAAATGATTCCGATAGCTGTAAAATATCGACGTTAGTGGTGATTTAAAGGTTGTACATGCGAGAATGTATTTTGTCCCATCGTTGCCAATGCAAGATAGTTCACTGCTAGCTTTCCAATTTCTGAGGCAGTTATGATCTAGTATACGTTTCAGTTCTTTAGAAATGAGGTGAGTTACTTTTTATCATTCTTTCTTTATGTTGAGAGATTGTTGACATTTTATTTTGCTGTAACTTCATTTTTCATGAGCAAAGTACTTCTGATGCTTAAACAAGACAAGTCTATTTAGTTTCTTTCGCACTTTATCTTTAGTTTCCATTTCTGTGGTTGTTTTTCCCAAATGGTATAGTCGCACTTTGCGCTTAGTTATTCAAAGTATGATTTTCATTGACATTAAAATCTAACAAATGCGTTCTACACATTAGGACACTTTAGTATACTGCTTTTGAAACATCAAGGTAATGTAGCCAGCCAGGTATGAATTTGCAGGCCCTCTTTATAATCATCTTGGTTTTGGTTTGTCCCTTAAGTTAATTTAAATTATCAACAGCAACATATGACTGTGTCCACGGTTTATAATTATAAGTGTGTCCAATTGTATCCAGTATATCAGTTTCACATTGTCTTGTGCTAATTCCTTAACAGCCATGAATACTGCTTCTCAGCTGAACCCAACAGCTGAACAATTTCGGCTGCATACAAGAGACTTTTGATGAGAAGCAGTATCCATGGTTGCAATGGCAACTGCACCAGACAAGATGAAACTAACATATTGGAAGTAATTGGGGACACCTATAAAATGCCAAACAAAGAATCAAGTACGACAATTGATGATGCTGCTCTCATCCGAAAGTATGATTTACAAGGGACAAATCACAACAGAGATGAGGATGAAGATTATAGTGATGCACCAAGCTTTTCCACTGTATCTGAATTTAAAAAGGCAGCAATATCGTACATGGCTGGCTATGTTGCCCAGATGGTGCAAAAGAAAATAAACTTTCCAGTTTGTCATGAAGCAGTCGGTTCAAGAAACTACAAAAATGAGTCTGCTTTCCTGACTTTAAAAGACAGGGGTAATTTGTTTAAGCCAACAGCAAGTGTAATAGTAATATGCAATGAAACAGAGAGGTGCTTTCAGAGAATGTTGGCAGCTACAGATGGAAATTTACCGCAAGGGAAAGGAATTCCTGATGCTATTGCTTTGTCTGTAGTAAATGGCATAGATTTGAGGACCACATTCAAGGATCTCGATGCACACATGTTGGATACTACTGTTCACGAAAATCATATTTACTCATTAATTAAGACCATCTCTAAATGCTACAGCAAGGTGCGACGATACCATTTGGGAAAAACAACCACAGAGTGGTTGGAGTCTTTTAAAAGCTAAGTTCAAGCAGAAGATGCGCGAGGAAGAAATGGCAAGTGGCATTGATGTTGACGAACTGTTGGAGAAAGAAAGTTTGATTGAAGAGTTGTGCCAAAGAGGACAGCTTCCTTGAGGTAGCATCAGTTCAAAAGCAAAAGGAAAATGCAAATGCTATTGATATAAGGATGACAGCCTTGGAACGAATGGGCGAAACAAGCAAGAGAAAATCAGATGGGCAAAACTCAGATGTTAAGCTTAAGAAAGTACGCCGCGGAAGTTGTGAATTAGTCGAATATTTGAGAGAAAGATCAAGCAAGGAAATTGAAATCGTCGTGCAGAACTAGAAGTAAAGCGAAATGAGCAAGAAATACAAAATCAATTGAGTACCCAAGCAGCTAAACAGCAAACAGAAGTCTTAAATATGATGCAACTACAAAATCTAAAAATGATGGAGAGCCAAGCTTTACTTCTTCAGCAACAACAGCAATTGTCAACAGCATTTCTTTACATTATTCAGAGGTTCACAACCAAGTAAGATTGTGTTGTCACTTACAAGGAAAGAATTCTTAACTGTTGTGTTTTAGCAATCTGTGTAACTATGAACTTTTAATGTTTTGTTATTTGAACTATAAATACTTTCTCACTTACATTTGTCAGTATTTACATAACATGATACATACTTGCTAATTGTTTGTGTGTTTAATAATAAGTCATTTTGGCATTCATTAATTAGTTATAAAGTAATTCTCCAAGGTTGGAGGATATAACTGAAAAAACTTGGATGTTATATTTCCATACATGCAAGTGAGTGAATTTCTTAACAATGCACAGACAATATATGCTTTCCCAACACTACTTAGACCTATTTTGAGGTTTTTTTTGAAGTCCATGAACCGGAATGAGTTGATCACATCTCCAAATAACCATTCCACAGACACTCTAACTGAACTCATTTGCTTGTTGAATTCTTTCATTCTGTCTGTGATTACCCCATGCTGAAAAGGAGATTGTAGATGAATCCTCTGTGGATAAGCGTGATCCCCATATATGCAAAATGGTCTCCCATCCACAGAAAAAGCATTTTGTTCCATGTCTTGAAGGAAGTTTGAGCCAGCCAACATACCAGCATCATGTTTTTTCCTTCTGTAATATAGAAAGTATTTGCCTGAGTTATAGACTGTTTTTGCTTGTACAATATAGTGTGTACAATAATATTTTCATTTAAATAATATAAGCATACGGCCAGGGGCGTAACTGTTGGGGGGTGTGGGGGGGTGTGACACCCCCCCCAATTGCTGAAAACAGTGTTTTTGCAGGGCATATTGCCGTCAAGTGGCAGGGCAGTGTTCAGGAAGTAGAAAAATTGACATACCATCGAAAACAACTAATTGATTACTAAGTGGAAATAATTCGATCATGGGATAATATGAGAAGCGTCGGTAAAGATAAAAAAGGAAAGATGCAACAGCATTTCCCTTCCGAATCCCACAAAATTGCTTTGAGTGATTTGGCACACTTTGCATGCAATATGAAAAACGTAGATGTAATGTTGGAAAAGAAGTTAAGAGAAGTAAGAATACAAGAAGAAGAAAACAATTTGCGAAACCAAGAAGCCATAAAGATCCTTTTAGACATCGCAAGAACATTGGCACGACAACAGCTAGCTTTCAGAGGGCTTAATGAAAAGCACGAGGGAAACTTTATCCAAATATCAAATCTTGTTGCCAGGCATAACCCTAGACTTCAGTCATGGCTGTCAGAGAAGAACATGAAACCTTATTCAGTAAAATACCTATCACCTATTTCACAAAATGAGTTTATTAGCCTTTGACTGAAGACGTAAGGAATCGCATCGTAAAGATATCGTTTCATCTGAAATATACTCAGTCATGGCCGACACGTCTCCTGACACTTCAAATGCGGACCGCCTCGTAGTGGCAGTGCGCTACGTTGACGAAAACAACGTGCCCAACGAGAGAATACTGGAGATGAAAGAAACAAGGAATAAAACAGGTGAAGGCCAAGCAAAAGAGATTCTTGATTCCCTTAAATCACGATTACCTATTTGTCACGATGGGTTAGTGTATCAGTTTTACGACTACACAGCTTCAATGTCTGGGACTTTTAATGGAGTTCAACAACATTTGCAGGAAATGGTTGGACGCAACATTCCATACATCCCATGTCAAGGCCATAGGTATGTGTCAAATGCACAGTATTAAACATTGCCGTATAAATTACTTAGACATTAACTATATCTTTTTAAATATTTTTAAGACTAGTCTCTGCGTTGAATAAATTTTCAATTATATGTTTTTAGATGAAACACTTTCAATGAGCATTGCTCAAACGCCTCTACATTTGTTGAGATGTATAGCTTGCTCGAAGAGCTGTATGTTTTTTTCAGCAGAAGTTGTAAACGAGATTCTATGTTGCAAGAACATATGGAAAAAATTGAAAATGCTCTTAAATTGCGCAATCTCTCAAAGACGAGATGGGTGTATAGAAGTGAATCAATTGAAGCGGTATGGAGATCTTTTGAAGCCATACGAAATGCCTTAGCGGAAATAGCAAAAATTGACAACAACTCATTAACCAGAACCAAAGCAACCTCGCTCTGTAAGAAAATGGTCAAATTTGAGTTTGTTTTTGCAGTTATGTTTATGAGGTTTATCATGAGAAAGACCAAGATCCTGACAGTACAGATGCAGAAGCCAGAGCTCAATATCCTTGATGGTCTTCAACTGATTGATGAAACTGTTAGATCACTGGAAAGAATACGGCACAATGAATCGGAATTGAATGACCAAATAGATGCGAGTGTTGAGTTTGCGAAGACTCTAAGCTCTAATCCCTAGGAAGAGTTTGCTAGAAAGAGTAATAAAAGATCAAGTAGACAGTTGGATGACAACCATGAGACTTTGGCAATTATGTCACTAAAAACTAACTATCGAAAGTGCATGATTGAGGTCCTCGATTCCCTCATCAGAGAATATAGAGATAACATAAAAGTTGTTTGCAAAAATAAAACCCTTAGCTGTTATCCTTCAGCCTCGACTGACTAAACCAAATTTTGAACAAGTTGAAAAGGTCACCGAACTTTTTCCTCCATCAATTAGCGTAGATTGTATGTCACTGTATGCAGAACTTGAGATTTTTGTTAACTTTGTAAATGAGACAGAGAAAGAATGTAAGACAGTCCACGACGCCGGAAACACTGCTTTCAAAAATAAAGAAATTTTCCCAAACGTTTATAAATGTTACAAACTTCTGTTTACTGCTCCAGTAAGTGTGGCTGATATTGAAAGATCATTCAGCAAAATGAAAATTGTCAAGAACTATTTGCGCTCAAAAATGAAAGGTGAAAGGCTGGAAGAACTCATTGTCCTCTCAACCGAGAAGGATTTAACAGATACAATTCATCTGGATGTAGTACTAAAATCTTGGGCAGCCAGAAAAAACCGTAAACTCAGATTAAAATTCAAGTAAAAAGCAACATCTCAAGACTACGTTGAGATGATTCTCACTTAAGACTCTTGATATGAGAACAAATATACATTGTTTTACTGTTATGTCCGAAACGGTTAAGGTTTGTATTTCAAAAACAGGTTTTGTAATAATGTATGTGTCAGAAACCTAATCTTCGATAATGTTTACTAATAAACAACGTATGCAATAATAGAAATGCTTATAATTTGCTAGCCATAATGATTTAAGGGGTTTTTGTGGGCGACGCCCTTTTGCAGGGCAAACTTTCTCCACACCCCCTCCCATTACTTCAAGTCTAGTTACGCCCCTGAGCATACCAACTGGACCAAAAATATGTGCAATCAAACCATTTGGCAATGCCACACCCTGGAACTTCAAAGAGTGAACTCTTTTATGGCCATTGTAAACAATTCGCTGATGTTTTGTTGGCCGTGAAATTGGTCTGACCGTTCCATGAATAAAGCCAAAGCAATTTTCATAAGGTGCTCCTTTTTCATGGATGGCATTGGCATAAACCTGTATATTTTCTGGGCTTAAAAGATCATGGTTCCATTCTGTAATTTTTTGCTTATGATAATTATAAATAAAGTCAATGATGGTATTTGCAATCATACACAACTCAGAAACTGGTCGCCCAAATCTGCCAATCATGTCTGAAAATCGACAAGGGTAAGCAAGACGATTTAAAGAATGCATAGCCCTTCCAGTCCTGAACATGTTGCCCTTTGGACACTTGACTATTTCAGGGATTCTAAGATTTTGTTGGAGGAAAATCAAATCTTTTTGTTGGCTCGGAATTCTACTTTACATTCATCCTCACTTAGATTGTCTAAACAAAATGGCTCATAATTTTGAATGGAAGCTCTGGGTTCCTTGATTTATATGCCTTGTACAATATGATCAATTCATATTCTGTAATATAACCTTCCTCAAAAGCACAAGACAAAAGTTTCGCATGGTTTTAAACGAGTTCACTTTCTACCACCGCTTTCTATTACGAACTTTGCTTAACTTTTTTAAATATACGTGTGAATGTCATGCTCGTCCCAGTCTTCCGCGATGTCTCACGACGCCGTTGTCGGATGAAACGTAGTTTATTAGCTCTCTATTACCATTACCAGCGGCGTAACCACAGAATAGTGGCGTAACTGTATGAACTCAGTCAGTGGTTCAGGATGGGCAGAGCTACGGACATTCAAGCAATCAGGTTACAAGGGTTTCCCTGAACGGTGTTAACAAAGGACATCGGATTCAGATCACTGGTAATTCTAAAATTGACGTGGGTACTCACTGACATACACAGTTACTTTATAATAAGCGAGAGCATAGAGTTTTTACCAGCGAACGATTGAGAGCAATTTAAAATTCAAATTGATTTAAAATCTTTTTCAAAATTCAAAACAATAAATTATGTAGGTAACAACAATATTGATTCTTTTTGAATTGCTTGTATTTAGGAAAATAATAAAAAATTATATTTCATCTTCGCTGTTTTCTAAAGGTCTAAGTAAACTCCAATAGCTACGCAGCAACATTCAACTGTGCCAGTAATAACAGCAATACAGGCATGGCGCCTAAGGAGGGGTGGGCAGACCCCCACTTTCTCCCGCTACCTTTATATTAACCTTTATGTTTACCTTTCTGTCTACCTTTATGTATACTTTTGTGTTAAACTTTATGTCTTCTTTTATGTTTGAATTCGTTAATTTCCGTTTTGTGGGCTGTTGATGGTAGATATATGACCAATAATTTCCCCTTTAACCCCAGTATATTGAAATTTAATAGAAACGACAAGAACCACATTTCAAAAAACGACATGAACGACATTTCAAAAGTTCTTGCCATACAACAATAACATGCGCAAAGTCTTGCAAGATCATGCATGATGGAAGTTTATGCATGATCTTAGCAAGAAGTTTGTAGGATCATAGTAAGATCTTGGAACGATTATGAAAAAGTCTTGTAAGATCTGTTGTTAGCATTTATTTATTTTAGCTTAATTTGAGGCAAAGTAAGACCCAGTAACTTTAGTAAATATAAGACCCTCCCCCAGGCTCAATTTCGTTGGGCCGTCCCTGTAATAATTATTTTAATCTTCCCGCTCGTAAGTTACAGACTTTTGTGCTTGGATTATAAATCATGACCCATCTCAATTTCCAAATACAAAATGAATGAACCATTACCAGTAAGACAATGGCGAAAGTTTCCTAGAATTCGTTTGTACGCAATTCACTGTAAAATGGAAATTTATTGCATGATACTACTTCACAAAGCTGCTTACACATTACTTCTAAAACTTACTTACACTGTGTTATAAAATATAAATTTTTCATCCTTACCGTTGACTTATTGAACCATTCTTAAATTACAATTAACAGATGGAGGAAGTTTCTCTCCTAATTCCATTGAAATAGGAAACTGTAAATTGCAAATGAGATACCATGCATCTGAAATTTCAAACCCTTCCCACAACAAACGTAAAATTCTATACACGCCTGTATGTTGTATCCACTGATCTGATAATATCAGTGGTTGTATCAGCCAATAGCATTGTCAAAATGATTTAAATCTCTTTTACCATTTTTCTATGTAGTGGCCACACATTTTTGCCATTATAAGACATCAATTTTAAGTCATAAATTTGGTTATAGATAAAAAGAGATTGGTAGATGGAAACATAAACTGAAAGTAGTTTCGGCTTTTTTATGCAGAGGTGAAACATCATTAATGCTATTGCCTTACTATAGTATAAAGACGACAAAGTTGACCAAGAACAACATATGCATTTTGTGAAACTTCTTTGAATGTAAATGAGAAAAGCCAACTGGAATGTGGTACTCTTTTCATTGCTATTCAAAGTACGGTATTCGCTATTCAAAGCATGGTATACAGAATTGAGAAGACCATGAGCAGTCTTTTGTCAAAGCCTAATCATTTTCAAAAGAAATCAGAAGGGCATTACTAAATATGATGTGGTCTAAATCTTTATTTTTATACTTTCATGAAAGACAGCTCCAACACATCGATGAAATTATAATCATGATATATCACTTACAAAAAAGCATTGAGGATTTAATGTTCGTTCATAATGATCAATCTATATGTATATATATATACATGCTGTTCCCACTGATATTATAATATGGCTTAACTTGCGTTTTTAAAACTTAATCTTTTGCAGTATTGTTTATGAGCACATTGAAATAAATTGGCAAACATTATATTTTTGGTTTGGGACAGTGCATTACTTGCTTTTGTTTCCAAAGTTGTAAATGATGTTATTGTTCTTATCATTTTTTCGTTTTTTCTGGCTCTTAGCTAATTTTCCAGTAAAGTGAAACTCAAGACATCATTATTACTATAACAACTAAGACACCTTGACATTTAAATATAGTTGCTATCAATTTACTGAGAATACTCAAATAAGAAAATCTTTGTTTAAAACTCGGAAATAATGTAATTAGAATCTTTAATATTATTACTTAGCTAATACATTCATCAACTGCTTGACAAAGAAGCATTCATCTGCCTCAATTTCAAAATTTTTTGGTTTTTTAACTTGTCTTTATTCCAACAATTTTGTTGTGCTTCAAACGTGATATTCATTTATGATATTCATGATCAGCATTCATTTAATTTACGTCGATAAATGTATCTTCTTTCAAATAATGTTTTATACAATGTGAACCAGTTAAAGCGTAAAAATACCTTTATATCGTCGAAGAATACGCAGCCTCTGGTTAAATTTATTTTAGATAAGTTGAACATGCTCCGACCATATTAAGTTGGATAACAATTCTTAGATATTTCGAAGTTTTCACAAGGTAAATATTCTTGTAATAAATATCACATTTTATATTTAATTCTTGAAGGCGGAGGATGAATCTAAAGGGTAGGTCAAAAAACAATACAAGCGACTCATCGTCTATCAATAGCACAATTAGTAAGTAGTTTATAAAGAATATTAACTAAAATTCTACCAATAGGATGAACTGTGGAGAGTTTTGAATTTGAAGTATATTTACAGCAGTGTATTCTTACCTACCCTGCATCTAATAATGGTTCAAAAGTAGTTCATTTTCATCAATCCAGTTGCCAAAATGAAAAATCTTCTTTTAACTTATGTGCATTGGATCTAGACAAATCCATCAGGCATTGAATTTTGTGGTCAAATCAGAATGAGGTTTTGCATTCTTGCAAACTAAATCAGAAAACAACCCGTTTTATATTAGCTATTTATAAACTTCTTCGCCTTTCCCATTCTTTGAGTATGTACGTGCATGCATGGACACATCAAGTACCGTGAAAAAAGATGGTGAGGTCAATGTATGGTAATTGTAAGTTAAACATAATACAGCTAAAAAGTTCTATTGAATAAACGTTTTTCTTCTTTTTCAACTCAACAGCTGTTTTTAAAACAAAAAAAGAACAAACAAAAAGAGCTTTTCATAATTTCTTAAACGCAATATATATATCAGGCATTTCAAGTAAACGACAATTTTTTTTCAAAGTAAACATGTTTTGGCATGCTTATGCCATCTTCAGTACAAGGAATGATTATGATATCTATTTACAGTTTTATTTATATTAAGTGAAAGTGTATGGAATTACTAGATGATGGAATTATTTACAAGTTAAATATCGTGCTGATGTGATGTATTTGTTTATTGAGGTTTGGTTTGAGTTTTTTTTATGTAGAGAGCTTTCTTGAGTTTCAAGGAGAAAGAAGAGTTAGCGGTGTCTAGGACGTGAATACAAGAATAATTGTATTTTGTATTATATTTTGCTAAAACAAACTCACACAAAAACTCACACATTTACCAACACCTTCACACTTTCCACAATATAAAAAATACAATCATTCTTGTTTTTGCAACCTAGACTCCGCTTACTCTTCTATCTCTTTGAAACTCAAGGAAGCGCTGTACATAAAAAAAATCAAACCGAACCTAAAAGAGCTTTAATTTTAAATACTCCTATCTCTCTAGATATCTTTAACTTTCATTTACATATCTTCATAAATGAACTGCCTTAAAATTGACAGAGTAATCTTCACTTGTTTAAAGTAAGGAAAATTGTGATACTCTTACAGTTATATTGAGCTCAATAGTGAACTGAAATTTTCTGCAATCAAATGAAATCATCCCTTCCTCCAAGCTGCAGTTTTGAACAAGATCACTGACGCAAGAAATAACAAACTGTTTAGAAAAGGTTTCATCTAAGGCGACGTCACTAGTTATAAGCCAGGTCATTTTCCTATTTGTTGTGTACATGCATTGCCTCGTCAATAAAGGTGAAGATCGGCTAAGATCGTGCACATAAATATTTTTAATAGTTCTAAAGATAGCAAATACCATAGTGAATGGTAAAAGTAATATAATAAGTTGATATTTCTTAAAAGAACTGTTTTAAGTAAAGAGCACCAACCCAATAGTTCTAAATTAGAATTTCAATTTACTATATGGAAAAATACTCGGCAACTACGTATTTTGAAGTTAGAAAATGCAAAAAAATGGTGTTATGAATAAATGGGAAGACACACCCTCTCATTCCCCCCTGGCTACCACTTGAATTGCAATGTTGTTTATTTAATGTTATAAGATACTCGGGATAACACTGGTTATCTTGGAAGATGACGAATAAGGTGGGATCGTTTTGATTATGTACTACAGAATCATAAAGGAGACCTGGATTGTTCATAAAACTTGTATTTTCCGTACTTGTTAAAGTTTGCTATCTTCCAAACGAAATATAGTATGCATAATCTTATTTAGACCGTATTCGATATTTCATGACGCTTAATAGCCATGTTTTTAATTGCATTATTCTCATTCAGGCTACCCACATGTATGCTCCGCGTACCTATTTTTAAATTATTAAATTTCAAATTTCAATGTTGTCGAAGCCTCGAGGGCAAGTCGGTTCTACTGTGATTCTGGTTTTACAAAGAAAAGTGTGAAATACGCATTTGTGCTTGCAAAAGCAGTAAAAGAGTGCTTTGTAAGAAATTTTTATCAAGATAGCAGCATCCTGACAAATTGCAAGGAGAAAGGGATGATACATTTCACAGCAACATACAAAGAAAGCAACGAAAGGCCGTTGAAAAGCCAATTTCGGAATTGCAGTTGCTTCTGTTAAAGGTACGATGTTGTGTTATGTGTACCTTCAATCGCGTTATAAATTCATGTCAGTTAATTGTAAGGAATTTGTCTTTCATCAGATGTCAGACATAATTGATATCATTTATGAACTTAAAACCTCGTCCTCACTCATGACATAAATGATAAATACAAGATTATCATAAAAGTCTTTATTCATTGTTTACATGCTAGTGTTTATTGAAGGTAGGACACGTAGATGCTTGTGTTTATAAGTACGTTTATGCTGCAAATTCATAAGATAAATATTTCAGATAAATATCGTAAGATAAGCCACCAAAGTGCATTAGTAAGCGTGTGAGAGTGACTTTCTTTCTCATGATAAGAATAGTCAATTTTATGAACTAACTGAAGATAGAAAAATGCTTAGGTGCTGACAATTCTGGTCAAAGTGGCTGTAAAAGAATTACATTAGTAATATCTCCCTTGAGTTTTGATACTTGTATTGATATTGTAGGCTCTTTTAAGTAAATAGTTGTCCTTATTGGGTTATTTTTATTTACTTTAACACACTGTAGCTTTAAATTCACAAAGCACAACACATGTCCTGCTCTTTTTTACCAGTTTTTTGTCCTTCAAAATGTTTCCCTAAAAACATTGACTTTGGTAAACCTTACCTCCGTACCAAACACAACAGCCTCAAAAAACCCAGGTATAACTTCAAGGTCTGACATGAACATCATTTGATAAACTTAACACAACGACAGATGTTATGGGGGAAGGTGCCGAATGCCAGACTAACCTGATGATATTAAGAAAAATGTGGAGTAAGTACTATAATTATTATGTATAAACTATGTTTCTCATTCTTGTCCACTTTTCAATAGAAATCAGGTCATATGTGTTTGATTTCAACACATATGACCTGTTAAAACGTCATGGATCTAGAATACTTACGTCCATGCATTTGCAAATGATGTGCCTAGTAGCTAGGTGGATTCAACAATCAACATCATAAAATTATTTTAGATATGTGTTCAAAACATTGAGTAATTATGTTGTCCTTCGTTTTCATTACTCAATGTTTACACCTACTGTTATTCAATCTTGTGCGTATTTAATAACATGAATTTTATTATTAGAGTATATGAGCCTCCTGTTACCTGGAACTGAGAAAGATGCAATAATGAATGCAATATACTGGAAGTAAAAGATCAAAATATAGACTTTAGTACCAATTTTTGTTAGTATTATTTTTTTCTTCAAACTGTATGGCTTATTTTGCATGCCCTTACCTGTATTTGTGTATATATTTATTTTTACTGTTATACAATGTATTTATATTTTTTTAAATATTGGTATTCATTGTATAAAACCCTCCCTGTTCTTCGTAACCTTTTATTTTTAAACAGGTATTAAAGACCTAAATATGTTGGGGGCTAAAATTCTACTTGAACAAGCTATTAGCATATGTAAAATTTGTTTTGAAAAACATTTCTCCCTGTGAAAAATCATCAATCGGTTATATGATAAATAAAACAGTATCTTGCTTAAAGATTATTTTTCTTTCAGCTGATTTTTCTAGCTTAGAAAAAAATCTTGTCGTAGCTACAAAGATTTTCTTCTGCATTTAATCCAATTTCAAGATCAATTTCTTGAAAGTATTTTATTTCTCTTATGATTAATTTTCTTGCTCAGTACATTGTTTTAAGAAATCTAATAAGATAATTTTCCTATGGAAAGGACAAGATAATATTTGTTATTTTAAGAAAAATTTACTTAAGATACATTTTCTTGCTTAGAAAATTTTCTTGTTTTGAGAAAGTTACTAAGATAATTTTCTTATGGAAGGAACAAGATAATAATTCTTGTTTTAAGGAAAAATTTACTTAAGATAAATTTTCTTCCATAGAACATTTTCTTGTTTTATAAAATTTAGTAAGATAATTTTATATAGAAGGAAAAAGAAAATATTTCTTGTTTTAAGGAAAAATTTACTTAAAATAAGTTTTCTTGCTTAAAACATTTTCTTGTCTTAAGAAAGTTAGTATGATAATTTTCTTATAGAAGGAACAAGAGAATATTTCTTGTTTTAAGGGAAAATGTACTTAAAACTAGTGTTTTTTTCCCTTGAAATAAGATTTGAGGAATTTGCAGTATCCTGGATGAAGTTCAACATTAAACTCTTCGTCTTCCATACCAATATCATCTGCAGGATCAAAAATACAACTCAGTTTCGAGTCCATTATTTGATCAGGAGTAGCTTCTCTCCACTAAAATTTTACAAGCTAGTTTAGAAAAACTGGTTGGAGATGTTGAAAGTCTCACTACAGCATTGCCGACACGTTAAATAAACGCAGTTTTTTATTTGCCATGGCTAAATACACATGATGAACATAAAATATTCTTGTGTTGAAATATTGATAAAATTAAACCAAAATAAGACGTAAGACAGTGGCAAAGTGAATGGTTTGAACCGGGAGTATCGTTACATCTATAAATACAATCTACATTCACAATCAAAAACAGTACTAAAGCTGGGAATTTGAACAATTATTTAACAGTAAAAAAGAAACAACATATGTAAACAGACACTTACGATATTATCCACATTGTCGTTGTTTCGAGGACAATTATTGATTGTACCATGAATTTGTGTTTGTAGTTCTCTTTTACATCGAAGTCAAAAGGCTGTAGCATTACTAGAAAATAAAATCTCACCATCATTCACAAGAAAAAAGAGATGACAGATATAGAATGCCATGTGTAATAACCCCAAAGGTTACTTCTATCATTTTTAACAGTAAACACCCCAAATAGAAAAGCATACGATCTTAAAAATAACATCAGCGTTTTAGAAAGAAGACGGGAAATACAATAGAAAATAACTGGCTACGTAAATATCGCAATAGAGTTATGTTTGAGTTGCTTTTGTTTAGCTAAGTGCCTGAATCAGTTATGGCTTTGAAGCAATGACAATCACGAGAATTCAAAGGTTGTACAGAAAAGTTTCTTCGACTAATGTGTTTCATCGTGCTCATAAACAAAGAGAAGATTAAGGATTTTCTAAGGAATTGACATGTCTAGCCTTTGTTCAGTTTATTTCATGAATATGAAAACGAAAAGTTACCCTATGTTAGTTTACCACGATTGATAGAAAAGCAAAAGATGAGGAATGTATATAAGATTAGAAAAAAGGCTGTAACACCTACTACTTTTGCTTGGGTGGAAGAAGTATATATACTCTTACTACTAAACTAAGAAGCAAGAAGTACATTTTTTCAATCAAGGTTCAAGTGTCACTGCAATGAGTTAAATAGTTTAAACAAAAACGATCTGCCTGTCACTGGAAAAATCTTGTCTATATACTATTTTCCATAGATATGTTTTGCAAACTGTTCAGTTTTTTTATGCAACCAGCATACTTAATTTACACAAGAATAAACCTCAATGTTTCAATTATTAAATCAAATTCGTCAGAATATATTCTCTATTTAAAGCTTCACACAGCTTTTGAAAAATTCTATTTATACTTTTGTTTTTAATGTATACATATCTTCAATGATACCTCTTTCAAATTGCTTCTCATTTTTACATTTCAATAGTAATAACTTTTACATATACAATATTTTAGCAGGTTTCTCCTGTCAGCTTAAAATGGCTGTTATCAATAGTTTATTGTGATAACTTTTGTCTGAGACAGTAGCAACTGAACCAGTCTGTATTTTTATTATGATTGCGTAATTCTTTTAGCAAAAATTATCATTAATTTCTTTGGCACAAGTTCTACTTGCTTTATCTTAATTGCATGTTACATTGTCTTGTAGGGATATCTGACCCTTTCTCGCATATTGTTGTTCAAGGTTATGAGAAGCACCACCTTCTGTACATCGTACCAGTAAATCTATTGATCCCTCGTGATGATTAACAATATATATTTAGAAATAAATTATAACATACCAGTTACAGACACCTTGCCACGTGGCTCAACTATCCCACAGTTTGGTCGTACACAGTACTTTTTTGGAGCTGTTGTCTTCACTTTAAAACATACTCTCTTTTCAGTTGGATTTCGAAGTACTATGTTACAGTTGACAGCTTTATTAAATGGACCTTAAAATAAAAAAATTTAAGGTAATGAAGTGCTGCTCACATGGAGATATCTAAATGGAATACAGCATTTGATGGATAAAGCATTGAAACACAAAAGTCATATAAATACAAGAGAACACACAAATTACCGTTACAAATTATAAAAATACATGATAGATTAAAATTCTGTCTACTTCTAATTAAGAATTACTTAAATTAGACTTCAATAAAAACAGTCAAAAATGATTCTGCTTGGAAAGTTCTTTGATAACAATTCATAAAACTACTGTTTTCAAGCCTAAAATTGCATCAAACTCATGTTTTCAAGAATTAGACAAAGTAAGTAGAAAAGCAGTAAGCATTCCCTGTTTGCATAAGCCGTAAGGCAGTTTCTATTCTGCCTAAAGAATGAGAAAATGGGCTCATATATTGCTTTACTTCACAAACATATGTGTCATCTAAAACATTGCAAACAACTTTCAAAGGTGTCGTTCAAATTTCATGCCAGTTATTACAGAATAACTGCAAATATATGAGCTGTTCTGCAATCTGTTTGGTCAAATTTCATTGAAATGTGAAGCTCATATGCAATTGTAGCAAAGTTAAAAGTTTGAGTACAATGTTATGTGTGATAAAAAGTAGAATAGAATTTAAAATACCGCTTCTAAATACGTAATACTAATTTACTTTATCTATATAAGTAATAATTTACTTTGTATTTAAAGCTCGGAAATAGTCAAGTGTACACTAAAATCAAATTCCTACGAGTTTATAAGCTATTTTATTAAAATATTGAAAAAACAGTTTTTTAGCTAAGTCATGCACTTGACTTGCAAAGCCATTCTTCCTCCTCATTAGGTGCTTGGTTCAAATTGGCGTATGTTAGATAATACCATTTGTTACAAATTGCTACCACAGATTACATCAGCACTTCTTTATTCTAAACAATATTTTGTGAAACCAGCAGCAAAAAACGCCCATTGGAGATTTTGCTGACAAATCATGAATATACATTTTAATAATTAATTATGTGAATATAAATTTTAACCAAAAAGATCGACATACCTTTAAAATGAAGCTCGTCCGCTGGATATATCTGTAAAATTTGTTCCTTTGTGTCAGTGTAATTCACTGATCCTGGATAAAGTTCAACATTAAACTCTTCGTCTTTCATAATAATATCATCAGCAGGATCAAAAATACAATTCAGTTTCAAATCCATTATTTGATCAGGATTAGCTTTTCTCCACTAAAATTTCACAAGCTAGTTTAGAATAACTGGTTGAAGATGTTAAAAGTCTCACTATAGCATTGCCGACATGTTAAATAAACGCAGTTTTTTATTTTCCACGGTTAACTACACATGAGGAACATAAAATGTTCTTGTGCTGAAATATTGATAAAATTAAACCAAAATGTGACGTAAGACAGTGGCAAAGTTTGAACCAGGAGTATCGTTACATCTATAAATACAATCTACATTCACAATCAAATACAGTACTAAAGCTGGGAATTCGAACAATTGTTTAACAGTAAAAAAGAAACAACATATGTAAACAGACACTTACGATATTATCCACATTGTCGTTGTTTTCGAGGACAATTATTGATTGTACCATGAATTTGTGTTTGTAGTTCTCTTTCACATCGAAGTCAAAAGGCTGTAGCATAACTAGAAAATAAAACTCACCATTCACAAGAAAAATAAATGACAGATATAGAATGCCATGTTTAATAACCCAAAAATAAGTTCTATCCTTTTAATTGTAAGAACCCCAAATAGAAATGCATAGGATCTTAAAAATAGCATCAGCGTTTTAGAAAGAAGACGGAAATTTAATAGA